ATGAAGTCGACTTCTTTGATTTTTAAGAAGGCCACATGGTCAAAAAAGGTATTCTAAAATTATTAATTGATGACGATGACGATGCCAATATTATTGAAGCAAAGGCTTATCTTAATTCGTTATTCGTAGACGCGCAGAAGTGTTGCTCTTTTTGAGAATCATCCCATCAAATAGCGGAATTGTAGAAATTGAGGATTGTGTTCAGCTTGCAATTTTGAGGCTTGGAAACTATATTCAGGATAGCAAAGAGCGGATATTGTCATCATCGAGATGCGAGGCAGGAGAAAGAGTGTCAGAGAAAGGTTTCAAGAAGCGAAGAAGAGAAGAGAGGCGATCAGAGCTAGAAGAAAAGGCTTTGTGTGACCAGTTTTTCAGGCAGACAAGATAAATAAATGGCCCAGAGTCATGGGGATGGCTCCGGGACGGAGAATTGAGAAAGGAGACTGAAGGCCTCATAATTAACGGCGCAGACCCAGTCATTGCGAACAAATGCAATTAAAGCAAACATCGACAAGACGCAGAGGGACTCGAAATGTAGAATGTGTAATCAGGAAGGGGAAACAGAAAGCCACATTGTCAGTGAATGCCCAAAACTGGCACAGAGAGAGTATCAACGTAGACATGGCTGTGTAGCGAAAGCCCTCCATTGGGATGTCTGTCGCCTGTATAACATAGATTGTGGAAATGAATGGTACGAACATCAACCAGATGGAGTGGTAGAAACAACAAATGTAAAGATTCTCTGGGCTGTCAATATTCAAACAGACAATGAAATCCAGGCAAGGAGACCTGACATAGTGGTTGTCAATAAGAAAGAAAGGAAGTGTTACATCATTGATGTTGCAGTCCCGGGAGATGTGAGAATAGCTGAAAAAGAGATGGAGAAAATCGAAAAGTATGACGAATTAAAAAGAAAATTGGATAGATTATGGAAAGTGAAAGCAAAAGTTATCCCTATTGTCTTGGGAGCCCTTGGAACAGTAACACGAAATTTGAGCAGCTACATCAAGGAAATTGGAGTCAAGACGCAGATAAAACTAATACAAAAATCTGTACTTTTAAGAACTGCAAAAATGTTGAGAAAAGTTCTTGAGATCTAAGATCATGGCTATTGATCCGATTTCAAAAAAACATCAAGAACAAGCCAGCTAATACATCAGAACAGTTACTACTTCATAAAAATATACGACTGCACCACTGAGAGAAAGAGCTGACGTGCAAGACCTTGGAGCCTTACATACTATGCATACTTGTCGCATTGCTTTTCTTTTTGCCCTCAGTTGCGTCACGTTAATAAAAATGCCCCACCTCAATTCCCCACCAGTGAAAATTTCTTAAAAGATCCCCTGTGTTAAACCGATAGTGCAGCAGCTCTTGTATCGTTTGATAAGTGTCTTTTGCAAGTGGGGACTAGAAGCTTGGGGCTGCAACCTTCATCAATTGATAAACTCTTCTGAGTTGGAAATAAGCTTTGATCAGAGATTTTATGATGTTTCAATTTTTTTTTCTTATTTTTGATCTGTTTCTTTTTCAAAAGTTTCCGTTTGGCTCTTGATAACTCACTTCAAAAAGTCTGAAGTATAGAGTAAATAACATTTTACTTCAAAAACTTTTTATACGTCTGAAGTTGGCAGTTCTTCCAAGACGTATTTTGACGTTCTGCAGGAAAAAACAAGAAAACTTTAAATGATGAAACACAAAAAAGATAATAAAGATGGCGCTCAAAATATAACAAAGACCTATTGGGATAGAAATTATAGATATAGAAAGACATTCGAATTATAAATATAATTTTTACAAAACTTTATAGTCTCTTCATCGTTTTTGAGTCACACATCCACGAAGTACGATATTGATAGTGTCAAAGTAGGAGCCTATTTGAACTCTTAATCAGACATCATTATAAATTCAGAAGAAGATAATAAATCATATTCGAATTGAAAATTTACAGTTGTATGGTCAAACAAAACAGACTGACAACTAAATTGGCGACAATTTAACATTTACTTCTCAAGCTGCTGTGCAATTGCTATTTATACCTTGCTTTATCGTCTATTTGGCATAGCTCGAAATAAAAAGATATTAAAGTTATATTTATCATAACATATAAAACATTGTATATCACATCACAATTAAATGCCGCTCCACAAACACAATTTTGTTTTTCAAGATAGTTGACTTTCGTTTCTTGTGATTCTTTATAACAAATCACTCACAATGGTTGTCATATGCTCGAATATTTGACTTTCTATTTTAATGTACTTTATATATTTGCTTCCAAGTTGAGCTACAATTTACTTACTTTTTCTGCAAAATGATATTACATTACAAATCTATTTGGAAGGATTTTCTTTAAAATGGAGTGTAAACTGAATGGTTTACAATTTCCTCTTTTTAAGGGAGTAAAAAATTCCTTCACGTTCTTTAGATAATCCTAATAAAATAGAAATTAAAACGCTAAAGCGCTTCAATCCTTAAAAATATTGAATTCTGAAATGTTTGTGGGGGATTATGCAGATTTTGCTCCAAGGATAACGGACTTAGTTTTAAACTTATATATACTACTTATTATTTTAAGGTATTTGCTTACAACTTTGGAAAATCAGTTTTTACACGTAGATCTTCCTCGCCACAAAAAGCTACATATGACTATCATTGTGTTTGATTAGCCAACCATTGCCGTGTAAAAAAGCCATGGCTTTACCAAACGCATTTACAAAATGGGGCGTTTTCCCAAATTCTTAAGGGTGTGGTCAACATAAATTTTCCCGGGGGTAACGCCCCGGACCCTCTGCTGTCGGAATCCTCTTTGCCTCTCCAATCTTCCAACCCTGGCTACGCCACTGGTCTGGTGCTACCTGTACTTGCGCATCATGTACATTTTGTTTATACTTATAGGAACAAATAATTATCCTTTTAACACAGTGATCCTGAGAAAACTGTGCGATTCTAAATTTTCCTTAAAAAAATCCCTGACGTTCAGTTTGGTTTCCTCGATACCAGTTGACTTTTTTCCATTTTTACTTCTTTGTTCTTCATCGATCATGTTAATTAACAGTTTTAATGTAAACCTAAGGCCCTTGGGGAACCAGGTTTATTTTTTTGCCCATTCACTTGCTACGTGATCTAAGAATGAATTGTTGCAAGATTTATTCGTACGGATATCAACGTTACAAAGGGCATGATCGATCAAGACTTAAACGTACGGTTTTCTGACGTTTCAAAGTGTTAGCCTGTGTTCACTAGGGGTCTGAAGTACGGTTTAAATGCATTAGGGGCCTGGAGTTAAGCATTTTAAAGGTTATCCTGCGTGCAGACTTTAATGTGCCAATATGCCTGTCCTTCGCAACGGATAGTAAAGTCTGCAGACAGGACCCTTTGCCTTGTCAGTCACCATTGACGCGATTTTTTGAAAGCCAAGATATATGAAATAATCTAATGTCCAGAAAGCTCTTCAACAAAAGTTTGTCAAAAGGTCTGGAACACCCCTCTAAAGCTATATTCAGTAGGGGATCTAGTTTAGAATATTGTCATTACTGCAAGTGAATGAAGCAGCATGGCTATATATCTTCAAAGATGAATGTGAATTTCCACGTTCATCATTTTGCTCTTATTGATCAGAATCCTTAAAATGGAACTCAGGTGCAATTAAGTGAAAGAAGGCAACTAAAAAAGAAAAAAGAAAATTGGCAACTTATAGAGACTAAATGGCCATGAAGCATTTGGAGAAAGAAGAAAAAGTCAATAGACGGAGCCCTTCTACTAAAAATGGCATATGGTGTTAAAACAAGGACACTGGCATAAAATGACAGTGGCACAGAAAAGCATGGAAAGAGCAGTGCTTAACATCACATGCGAAAGGTTTTGACTTTGTACAAAGCTCAGCAAAATATGAGTAGCAAATGGGCAGGTGATGTGGCCCGAATGGAAACAAGAAATTAAACCGAGAAGATGGGAAAGACTTCGAAAGGGACGAAAAGTTGATCTGCTGGACAGCGCATATAACAGTAGGATGAGATGCATGTTTAAGGCAAGCAGCCATATTTTCAGTGAAGAGATGTCTGAAAAAGCACATAATATTGTATTTTCTTAATGGAAAAAAAGAAATGCTGTTTTTGTTTTTATCTTTTGCGTTATACTTCCTAAGAATTTACGACTGCACCCCTGCTGCACATCAAATCTGAAATTGCCTGGAAATGACTGTGCACGCCTTTGCATTTTCTTGATGGTCTATAAGCAACCAAGCCCTAAAAAGCCCAAAAAACTATGACCTAAGAAACTTAAGTACTGCAAATGATGCAATGAGATTGATTCCTTTCGACGATTAGATGCTTATTTCTGATTCAATTGAGATATTTATTTTAAAGAAGAGCACCAGCAACTTGCCTGTCTGGTCTATGTGATGTTATGCTACGTTTTTCGTGTCCTACTTTTCTACCTAAAACGAAGCTCTTTATCATATTGCTTTTTAGAAGCCTTATAAAGGCTTTTAGCAGGCACCGCGGAGTGTTGAGGAAAGTGGGGGGTCTAAAAAAGTGGGGGGCTAAAACCGTAGAAAAAGAGGATTTTCTGGTAGTTTGATACTTAATATTTGGCATTTTTTGCAAAAAAAGCCCCACCCCCAAGCCCCCCTGTTCCGCGGTGCCTGGCTTTCAGTAATGAAATCAGCCAACAAATGAGAAGATGAATGCCAAGCTGAAACTGTTCTTGTCAGTTGTATTGGAATGAGGCTTAGTGGAAAAGAGGCATGGTCATCAGTCCGTTCTCTTCTCTTCTTCAGAAGTTAGCGAGATATCTGGCTTAGGCTTGTTAACATTACAATTTCCGCTATCGCTGCAACTCTGTCACTGATTTTATTGCTTTTAAACAATATATAAGGGTATCCAGGAAGAATTAATTCGAAATGGAAGCGAGTAACGTTCAGAATGAATCCTTAGCAAGCACCAACCTGGGACAGGTAGGCCGTTTAGATGTGTCGTTTCTATAGTTTTGATTACACAAAATAACCTGTTCATTATCCTCTTTTGGAAAGAACTGTCCTCTTCATAGTTCTAGTCTTAATAGACGCGTATGATACCATTGAACTTGACACATAGCACACTGTTTGTGTTATTGGCATTTTTGTATCATACCAGACTACTCAAGATCCGAGGACACCAATTCGATGACCCTTAAAACTTTGTGCTTCACCTTGGAGGCAGACAGAAATATTTCGTAGTCCATGTTAGAGAAACAGAGCAAAATAAAATCATTAAAGTTGATTTGGTATTTAGCAATGCAAATGATATAATGGGTGAAACACATTCATCTCTAGAGTTTACCAAAAATTACTCTGGTACTGAACCTGCAGTATGTTTGACGAAGGTTTTCGAAGCACCTCAACATGTAAGGTTTACACTGTGCCTTTATTTAAAAAACATTTTATTTTGATATAATTTAATGCTGGGAATATTGTTAAGGCCTCTAGGTCTCTTAAAGAGTTTACACTTTTATGGTTTGGTTTACATTCCATGTATGAAATGAATGGATAAGATCTTCCTTTCTCCACCATAAATGCTTCCAGCCACACCATTACTTTGTAAAAGAGCTGCTTGTAGCAGTTTTTATGCGATTTGCATCTTCTGTTGAGGAACATGTTGAAAATAATTTCAACAAAGAATAATGTTGAAAAACCTAACATATCTGAAATCTAAAATTTTTTGTCTAATTGAAACTTCTGCTTTCTACTTTAAGATACAAAATATTTGAATTTGATAATGTATTGCCAGAGTAAAGTATCTAAAGGGTTCTGTCAATTTGTCTTGGTATTGCTGTTTTGTCAAAATGAAGTGATATCTGCCAATATTGAGGACATGGTCTAGTAAGTGTTTCCTGGGGCTCTAGGGGCATATCCTTTCCTCTTGTTTTAACTAGATTTTTTCTGAGTTTGCGCCTATGATGTGCCAAATTTGATGAGAGACAACTGAAAATAAAATTTTGCAACATTTTATGCATTTAACCAAATTAGTTGCATTTAGGCCTTCCCAACATATCACCTTCATGTAACATGTTCCCCTTGGATATTTTGCTTAATTTTCTTTCTTGGTTTATTTTATTTATCATTATTCTTGCTGAATTTAAAAAAAACATGGAATAAATAAAATAAAATGTTAGGTTAGTGAATTAATACAAGATTGTTTAGACTGTTTTAATATATATGGGCAAACGCTGCACAAGATGTTTACTCATTTGGCCATCAAGCAAGTGTTACACTGTTTGCCTAGGTTTTAATAACGGTTATATTTAACAAATGTGGATCATGAGGTATCATCAAAGCCATTTTTATTATAACTTTAATGACATAAGTCATGGAACCCCTGACTGCATTTTTCTGTTTTACTGTGATTCACTTTACTTAATGGCATATTGGTCCATTTGATAGCATTTGCAGAAAAGATGCTATTTATCGCAGGCCTTTCCTGGAGATGCGCGCAAACAAGTTCTGCAAGGGTATTTTTCCACCCACGAAGTTGTTTATAACAACACTCTCATTAAATCCGCTTTGTCTCACTCTCTGATGTTTCAATTACCTACTGCTATATATCAGGATATTCATAAATATTGTCGCGTCAAAGTGATATATGGTTTTTATAAATATCGTTATAAAAAGGGAATTTTTGTTTCTTTTGGCATCAAATGTTAACAAACTATAGTATTACCTGTTACAACTAGCAAAGGAATAGAAAATGGTTGTGTAGGAAAGGAACAACAGATAGCGTAAATAGCAAAAATGAGAATTGTTACACAACACTGTCAAGTACGAAATTTGTGTTACGAATACACTCAGTTTTTATAAGGAACACGCTATAAGAAACAACAATTGGGCAATCGTTTTTGCTCTTTGACTCTTCAACAAGGTAAGAGGTAAGCAGTTGAGATTTGTCAAAAACATAGAACCAATCATGCACCCTTTCTTGTTACTTTCCATCTGTATTTCTGCTTCCCTGTATGCTTTGAGGTTTATGTATTGTTATTCGCTGATTTTTATCATGTTATTTTTTCGCTCTTCCGTGCTTTTTTCAGATTAAGAAACTTTTAAGAAAGAATGAGTATTAGAATTTCCTATACCATTAAGAAACTGGAGTACTCCAAGTCGACCTTCATTTCTAATAGAAAAGAAGTGTATTTTAGTTATTCTTTCTTGAATTTTTAATGCAAATCAACTTAATCTTCCATTACCCTTTAAATAACATTGTTCTGTTTAATTTCTTTTTAATAAAGATGAGTTTCGTTGGATACTACTCAATATAATATATCTGTATTTCTACACAAAACGTTGCCATTTTGCAAAAAAACTAGATATCCCTTTTTTTTCATTTGAAAGAGTAGTAATACCCACAAAATTGTCTTCTTAAGATAGAGAATGTTTACAAGTATATATGCAAATATTAAAAGATAAACAACAAATTCTGCAAGGGCTAAAAATAGCCCCCTCAGCCGAATCAGCAGGGGTCTTTTTTAGCCTGCATGCTTTTTATTCCTGGAGAGGCCTGATTTATTGCCTTAAAGTAATGATTTTTGTTAATTCAGGTGACATTGCTTTAATATAGCCCACCAATAAAGCCTTTCTCACTGATAAGCCCCCTGATGCCTTGCTTCACTAATAAACTACAGTTTTAATTAACTCTTCTTAATGATCTTTCTTTTCTAAAAAGTCTTCTACCAGGCCCCTGTGCTGAGGTAAAGTCCTGTGAAAAGAACAAGGTGGGATCTTGCAAAACTTTTCTCATTCTCATAAACATTACCAAGTTGTAAAAAGGGCAAATGTTTGGAATTAACAAGGGGATTTCAGCCTCCCCCATGAGCCCTGTCCTTATCCTTGTCTTGCACATCCATGTTCTTGTCTTGCAATAATCTATAGAACTTCAATTACGTTTCTAGTATAAGCTGATTTATTAAAGGAAAAAGGAATTTATAATCTAATGTTATGACATGTAACTACTGAGAACAGTTTTGTTGTTAGAATCAACCAGTGCCTCATTTGTACCTTTAGGCTCACTTTGGCATAATCCATTTAAATGTTCCCATCAACAACCTTGTTAATTGGCAGGCTTGTGACTCTCACTTTTTTCAGATTGCTAAAGCAATTTTAACACCTGGTCATTTTCCTAAGCAACATGATAACACCTAGGCGAATGTGAAAAATAACTGAATCACTTCCCTTATTTAAAATTGATGAAATGAAATAACAGTTTTGTGTAACTGGGATTTTGAATTGAAAATGCCTTTAAAAATAATATTGAAATTTTAAAAGCTTGAAGTCAAAACCCTCCCTAAAGTATGGTTGTAAATTACTTGTCAAATGGTTAAGACATTTCTCACTGTTTGAGTAGTGTGTTGAGCAGGTTGCCCAGAGACCCATTTAGTCTCTGCCCTTTCCTTGATTTGCTTTATTAGAAGTAATTAACAAGTGATTAAGGCTATTACACACATCAGCTGCCTTATGACATGTTTATTTTTTCATTGGTCAATTAGATTCTTTAATGTGATTAATTAAGTTTAAATTGTTCTGTGTCATAGGGACCCACAGGGCCAAACCCAGAGAAGGTGGTTGTAGAAAGCAAGGGTTGTGATCAAAAAAATATGGATAGACTAACAACTGAACAGGAAGAGAAATTAAAAACGGTTGGAGAAGGAACAGAGCATGGACAGCAACAAGAACAACAAACCCTGTCACAAAAAGATGATAGAGTCTCCCCTGTTGATGAACAGACAAATACATGTGCCAGTAGCAATCTTGAAAATAAAACTGAAGTAAAAGAGAAGAGGCAGGAACCTGTGAATGAAAACATGAATCAAAGTGCTGATATTGTTGAAAAAGAAGAAAAAGTTGTGGAAAACACCACAAAAGAGTTAATAAATGGAGAATTGGCAACTTCAGAAAATACTTCCCCTGTTTTATCACCTTCACACAAAGCAGATGCCCCTGTGGCTGTTGCAGAAGATAAAAGTATTCAAACACAAAATGGGGACCCAGTACAGAGCAAGAAGACCAAGAAAAAAGACAAATCATCTGCAGAGGAGAAAAAATTAGGTTTGTTTTAACTTCCTGACCAGCTCATCCAATTTTTTGTTAAAAGCTCTATTTAGCCCCCATTGGGGGTTATTTATTTTGATAGTCCTACTGGGGAGCTTTAAGGAGAGGGGAGCTTCTTAGAGAGGAGAACTTATGAAGAATTCAAACCAGAAAAAAGTTATAAAAATATTCTTATGCATTTCTTTGTTATAAAGATGTCATGCAAATATTCTGAAAAGACTTTGCAAGCTGTTTCAAAAGTTTATTGAAATCAATCAAATGATCTCGTCTTCATCAGAATCACCAGGATCAAACGATAACCCTGTGACATCTTCTAAATAAATCTCATAAAATAAAAAAAACTCGCGTGATAAGAGTGGGGCGCGCGAATCAAATTTATTTGTTAACACAGAACAAACAAAACAAAGAGAAGGCCCCGTTTGACCAACGTCCGTTGGAAATCAGCCCCTGTTCCTATTACTCCGCTTTTATAGGAAAACGGAGCTGAATGAATCGTTTTTGATTTTGTTTTCCATTGATACGCTCAAAAACGGAGAAATCTATAATGATGTTCCAAGTTATCAACCAAAAACGTTTGAAAACGAATCATTTTAATGGACACAGTGAAAAAGAAGTGATTGGAAAACAAAGTCATTTAGAAAAGAAATTGTTTTAATGAGAAAATCGAAAACGGGGTCAATTGGAAAAAAAATTCCCTCATCCTCAGTTTCAAGATGAGCTTAAACAAAGGATACGAAAACGGACAAACAGAGTAATGGGAAAACTTTCGTTTTCGTTTTGGCCAAAACGGTGTGGGCCGGAGCAATGGGAACGGCTCAAGAATAACGGAAACTAAATGATCCGAAGACATATGAAAACAGAGCAGTGGAAACAAGGATTCGATGTCAAACTCCCGTTTCTAAAAAGAGTTTCTCAAGTGGTTTGACCTATCAGCATCCGGCAATCGCGCTCTTCACGGAAATATTTATCACTGGGCGCGCGACTAATCGCTCTCAAAGGTAACCTTGGGCGCGTGCCTGCACGCTCGCGCGCCCCCCATTGAAAGCCCTGCATAGTGAACTAAATAGAGGAGCTCAATAGAGAGGGGGCTTACTTTGAATTTTTGCTTGATAATGGGGGCTTAATAAAGAGAGGGGCTTGAAAAAGAGGGGGGTTGATAGAGCTTTTACAGTAAACGCAAATTAAATTTATGTAGCCCATATAATATCACATGGCTATAACATACAATTCCTTACTGAGATTTTTAGCTTGATTACAACATGAATTGTTGAATAGTTTTCAAAATATCCTTGTTTGATCTACCCCCCAATTTCAAACCAATTTTAGTTGATTTGCTTGTTCATGTATTTGATGGTTTGGAAACTCCTGAAAAGAAAATGGAAGCACTAGCAAAAAAGTACATTCAACTGGTGAGTGATTTTTATTGTGCTTGGTAAACTATCAGCTTATTCAGGTTATTTGCATTCACCCAATGAGTTTCTTATCTTCTAAATTTTGCTGTCTCTACACAAGATGTTTTTCACATGTTTCTTAATGTTTTATGTACTTGAAATTAACTGAGATTAAGAGAGTTTCTTTAAAGAAGCGAGTTTACAGTTTTATGAAAATTTTGGTTGTCTTATAGGCAGCAGACATGAAATCCACTGAAAGTAAACTGGATGATGTTGAAGCCAAACATAAAGAGGTACATTTTAGTTTATACCAGTTTTTAAAGTAACCAATAATGGCCCAAATTACCAGCTATCAATGTCTCATTGGCAGGATTTTTCATTTTCAATGTATTTTATGTCATTTTGTCTTTTTTCTAGACCAAAAGAGAAAAAGAGCAGCTACAGATGGACTTTGGCAAAGTTAACATGGCAAAAACTAAACTTGAGAGTTTATGCAGGGAGTTACAAAAACAGAATAAGGTTATCAAAGTAAGTTGTTGTTGATTCATTTCTGCTGTTGTTTCTTTAAATAGAATCTTCAATGTCTGTCAAACATCGATTTGACATCATTTTTAGATTCCTCATAGCTGAATTTCGTCGTAATAAAAGTTAAATAGGATATGTTCTGGTAATCTATTTCTCAGGTAGTAAAGTGAGTTTTGTAGTCTTCCTCTGTATTAAGATTCAAAATTGCAGATTCTTAGAATTTTACCTTAAAATTCTTGAAAATTCATTTACGGATATCCTAAAGAGTACCAAAGATAATGATCTGAAATTTTCAGAATGTTCTATTCCTATTAGTTAGTTCACAATATGTGAAAATTAGCAAAATCTGAGATGGTGGGTGACATGGCCTTGGTGATTTGAGATGGAATTACCCTAAAAGTTAAACTACAGCATGTTTTGGTATGGATCAAGGATTAAACTAAATTATCATGATATTCTAAAGTAAAAAGACCATTTTCACTTAATTTCACACTTAATTCTGAAACTAACATATGATCCAAAACACTTAATTTATATTTATTCTGTCTTTATTGAATGTCATTTATGGTTCATAGCTTTCAAGCAATGCATATTTTCATTTAAATGTTGTCTAATGCGATTTATCCTTAATAGATCAGCTTTAGAGCAAAAAAAGCCAGAAGAGGTCGTACTTGAGTACTATTTTGGTGATCATATGTTGCAAAAATTGTTCGAAAATGCCTGGATCAACATAAATTTGTAGGGATAATGTGAGGTACTTTTATTATGCATTTGTTTTGTAGGAAGAGATACAACGAAGGGCTGATGAAGAAGACAGAAAGCGAAGGGAACTTTCACAGAAGTTTCAATCAACAATTAACGACATCACAACTCAGATGGGTGAGAATCATAAAAGAAATCAACAACTGAAGCAAGATAACACCGAGTAAGTGCACCTGCTGAGTTAAAGTCATATTTAGAAGCTCAAATTGAGTCACTGGACCAGGCCTTGTCCAGTCCTTTTCGTTGTGATTGGTTCTGTTTGACTGAATCATCATTGATTTGCTTATATAGATTTGCTTTGCTCCCAGAGAGAACTCCAAAAATATAAATAAGTAACTCTGAATTTGAAGAATTATTTAAATCGCTTTCTTGATGTTGGATTTATGGCTATTGAAAGACTTGAATTTTGTTATTGCTTACTCATGTTTGACTTGGCTCAAAAATTTAAAAACCAAATCCAAATAACAGTGATTTGATGGGAAAAGAATCTGTGCTCATTTGGCCATCTCTTAGCCAATCCATCTTAGCCAATCTATCTTAGCCCATCTATCTTAGCCAATAATATCTTAGCCAATCTATCTTAGCCAATAATATCTTAGCCAATCTATCTTAGCCAATCTATCTTAGCCAATCATATCTTAGCCAATCATATCTTAGCCAATCATATCTTAGCCAATCATATCTTAGCCAATCATATCTTAGCCAATCTATCTTAGCCAATCATATCTTTGCCAATCTATCTTAGCCAATCATATCTTAGCCAATCTATCTTAGCCAATCATATCTTAGCCAATCATATCTTAGCCAATCTATCTTAGCCAATCATATCTTGGCCAATCTATCTTAGCCAATCATATCTTGGCCAATCTATCTTAGCCAATCATATCTTAGCCAATCTATCTTAGCCAATCATATCTTGGCCAATCTATATTAGCCAATCATATCTTGGCCAATCTATCTTAGCCAATCATATCTTAGCCAATCTATCTTAGCCAATCATACCTTGGCCAATCTATCTTAGCCAATCATATCTTAGCCAATCTATCTTAGCCAATTTAAAGTCTGATTAATTTTCATTCAGCTTATGCAGTCCCATTTCGGAAATTCCAAAAATGATGCGAAACAGCCTATGCTAACATCGCCTTTTGGCCATTGATTTTGAAAACATAAAAAGTCAGTTAATCAGAAATCAGAAACAGTTTTTTCTTTTACTCCGGTATAAAATAGCTCATGCCACCCTTTCTTAGTCATAGAATTTTTTTTTAGTTTAGCACAAAAATTAAAGGGCCTGGTTGAACAATATGCGGTTCGGGAACAGGTATGCCTTTGAAATCAAAATGTAAACTGCAATGAACTTATATACTACACTTTAACAGTATACTTTTTTAAAATGCAAAATCATAGACATAATGATCGTTACATTACTCAACCAAAAATAATATTGTTAAAACATACATTATCCTTTATCTAAACATTGTGATTGTCTGTTGGTCGCATTAAGCATTAAATCAAGAAGACTACAACAGAAATATCCTGTTCTACACACCAATCGCGTGCAGCTCTCTATACGGTGTCGAGTATCATTTAATAGATTGGTGAAAAACAATCTTCATTTCTTTTTTATATTTCATTTTATGATTACAATGGTACATTATTGTAGCTGGTACCGGTTTGAATATTTTACGTAGTGCTAATCAGAACTTTTCATTTGCAGCACATTGAAAAGGTTTTGAAAGCAAAGCAGCTGGAACTGCAACTGTGCGAGGCAAAATTACAACAACAAACGCAAATTTTGCAAGAAGAACGACAAAATAACATGAAAGAAAAGCATGTGGTAAGTGGCTTTGTTGCTTGTTCTGCCATGTTGCAAAGACGGGAATTTTGATCCCGATAGAAGTTGTGATATTGGTACCATATTGTACAACTGGTCTTTTCATGTAATCGTCACTTCATGGGGGGTGAATCGATATCCGAGTTTTGCTGGCATGACTAAGTTTATGCTTTTTTACTTTGTAGCACAGAAAATATTTGTAACCTAGTATTCCCGAAATTAAAGAAGATCTAAGTCATTATTTGTGTCTCCATAGTTACTCCAGGATTCCTTGGAACAGAAAAAGAAAGTAGAAATGCTACTCAAGCAGGAAGCTGAACTTAAAGGACAGGTCAGTTCTTATTTCTATTTCTATTCTATGATATTTATTCTGGTTTTTTATGTTTTTCTGTCTACTGTCATCACTCTTGTTTTTAATAATAATAATAATTTCTTTATTTAAGATTGGCTCTAATTGCTAGCGCACGTGCTAATTTAAGCCAACCGAAACTTACAAGATACTAAAATTACTTAAATCTAAATTACAAACGAGAGAATCCTATTAAAGAATATAACAATAAAAACCCTAAATAACCTATATATATAATCTCCTCAATCTACAACTGAAATCAAAATCGTAGCTTTGAATTTTTCTTTTGAAGTTGTTAAGTGTCTGGGACTCTTTTATAGAAGATGGCATAGCATGCCATATCCTAGATCCAAGAAAACATGCACTTTCAATTCTATACTCTGTTCTTTTGTGTTTCGGTGCAAAAATACTTCTGCAGCTTCGAAGGTGGTAAGGTGCATCTTTTAGAACAAAAATTTGTTTCATGAAACTAGGATTGAAATTGTTTTGAGTTTTAAAGATTTCTGTAGCAAGCAACTTTAAATTTCTCTGGTGAATGGAAACCGATTCTGCTTTCTTCGATAAATCTTCTAAACTAGAACAACTATCCTTGTATGTGATTCTCAGGGCTCTCTCGTGGATTTTGTTTATTTTCTTATGAACCGACTTGTCCTGACACATCCAGATAAGTGGACAATAGCTAAACTGGGACATAACAAAAGTATTCATCATAATCCTTAACTTCTCAGCATTTATGTAACTGTAAATACGTGAAAGTGCATGCAGCTTTTGTCCAGCTTTTTTACATATGTATTAACATGACTCTTAAAATCAAGGTTCTTATTCAAGGTTACACTCGGAAGTTTTTCCTCGACGATTCTGTTACCATTGTCTCACCAATGTGTACTGACACATCTGTATTTTAAATTATTGCCTTGTTGATTCGAATTTCCGGATTTATTTTTCTGAAATTCCTTTTCTTTTTGCTTTTAGCTGACTTTGTACACTGACAAATTCGTCGAATTTCAATCAACGTTGACAAAGAGTAATGAGGTTTTTGCGACATTCAAGAAAGAGATGGACAAGGTGATTTTTATATTATACTCTGAATTCTAGATTTACTTTCGTTTGGTGTAGGAGAGAGATTGAAAATATGGTAAAAGTTGATTTTTGTTGAGACTTCTGATTTCGAATTTTATGTGATACGGTATAAATTTGATGATTAAAAAAGAAGGCCATAATAGCAAAAGACTGGAATTTTTTGGTTTAATCTAAAGTATCATTCAGTTTTTCATTTTTGATTGATCTTGAAATGTGGGTAGCAGCCCTTGGCAAGAGACGAGAAACAGGCCAGTGAGTGTTTTTTCGCAGTTTTTGCATTCCATTTACTTCAGTTTTTGTTTATTACAGATGACGAAAACAATCAGAAAGCTAGAGAAGGAATCAAATACTTGGAAAACAAGATATGAAAACACGAATGTTTCATTAATACAGATGGTGGAAGAGGTAGGTTTCTTATGTTTGAAGTCCAAGTGGATAAAGCGTCTGAGATTGGCCTAGCATTGTAGGGTTCATTTGTTTTAGACAGCGGCTTTTGAGACAGAGGGTCTCTCCAACCGAAAAAGGCTTTTATCATGTGGCAAGTATGATAAAACTGTTTCCATTGCTAAATTCTAATTTTTCATTACGTTCCAATGCTGACAAGTTGCCCCTTTCTGAGGAGAAACCGATCAGAGCCAAGTCGATTTGGTGACACTTTGACGTCATCATGTTTGTCTCTGCTTCCCGGTGAAATGTTTGCTTCCTCGAAATTGAAGGCACGGCTCGTTTCGTTCAGGCAAGAAATAACAATCGAATGTTTTGGCTGGAGAGGCCCTTAGAAAACTGTGCAATAAGCAAGCTTCTTGTCTGAGAACTAGTCCAGAAATTCAAAAGCCCGTTGATTTCTTTTGAAGTCGAGTACAGTCGAGTCAAATTAGTCGAGTACAAAAGTTCTCCTTTGCATCTAGTGCTAGAGAAACGTTGGAAACCTTGTGTTTATTTTGATTTTCTATGATTGGATCTAATTTTCGTAACTTGGCTAAGAAAATTTGAATGCATTGTTAAGGAGACGTATTATAATTTATTTCACCGTATAAAACAGGCTTATTATTTGCTTTGTAATATGGAAATTTTTTTCCCAAACCGTTAATTTGAATTTTTTACTAAAAGCTTATGTTGATGCTTTTTACACCTCGAAAGACCTTTTTTGAGTTTTTTCTTTTTGCTTCAATCTTTCAGCCTCTTTTCTATTTTAATATCTTCTAAGCAATTTATTTGTTGCTGGGCATCTTTTTTCTTTACTTATTTAATGCAATTCTTCCTTTAGCGAACTCAAAAGGATAACGATATCTTGGCTCAAAAGGGTAAAATCGAAAAATTAGAAAAGCTTTGTCGTGCCCTTCAAGCTGAAAGGAGAAAGCTGATGAAAGAAGTTGATCAGCAAGGAAAGGTTGTTATGTTGCCACAGTTCTAATTGTCGTCCTTTCTCTACTCATGTCCCTTCTTGATTATTTTTCCTTGATTACTAAAATCATAACAAGGATACAGTTCTCTATTCGGTCCGTAATTTTTTGACAAATTGATTAAATTGCGGCAAAAGCTCTTTAACTGAATTCGTTTCATGTTATATCATTTTTAACTGCTCTTTACAACACAGGTGAAAGCATCTGACATCAAGGAGTCAAATGATGCAGATGGCGAAAAGTCGTGTAACAGCACTCCAGAGCCTCCCGAGATCGGTGTTGGTGATGTTACGCATGACAATGCAGATGCGAGAGAAGTAGCAGATCAAGCCTGTGATGGTAGTCATGTCCCTCTTGAAGGAGAAACTGTTGCAAGCACGCCCATTACGGAAGTGTCTGTCGATGTGCAGTGATTGTTTGTGTACAGCACAATATTTTAATAGGAATTAGTTAATTTTCTTTGTATATGTCGATAAGTGTGGGCATTTTTGAGATTGTTGTGTACTGTGTATTGGATTTTCAGGCAAGAAATCAGTCAGAATTTCTTGTTTTATCTCTCCTAAACGTCTCTCTTTTGATTGGAGGTCAGACATGCAAACACTAATTTTCAATTGCCATCACTATAACTTGCCTTTATGTGGTACTTTTCATAATCAAACTTTAATTAATTTAACCTGCAAGTATATATTCTCGATACAGCTTATAAATCTAAACCAGAGGCAAGTCATATTCATTCTGCTGCCTAAACTATCATGTTCATTTAAGCATGAAATCAGTAAAGTTTCTTTTTACAGCTGCAAACTCAACTCAACACACCTAGCAACTCCAAAGCTATTATTTGCGTCCAAGTATACGCTTACCCGTTTTTGTCACTTTCAGAAAATTTATTTTTGTTTTTCTGCTATTGAACCAAAATATAGCTTTGCTTTTTCTTTTTAACGTTTAGAAGACATTAAAATGATGAAGTAATGAAAGAAAGCAAAAGGAATTCTTAATCCATAAATAATTGGAAAAAATAAAGTTGAGCAGAGTAATGGTGAAGGCAGTCTAGGTTTTTTTTCTATTGAATGCCACTTCTGATTCTATCAGAAAACTGCTTTCGGAATCTTATTTTTCAAAATCGAGGGATTAACAGTGGCAAAGTTTTGGTCCCTGAAATTTTGCCGATTTCTTTTACATTCAGTAGGTATTGTTGGAAGTGACACAGTTTTTTGCTGCTTGAATGGTTTCATGTTTTTGGAGGAAAAAATTGATTGGTTCTTTTACCTAAACATAGATTGGCTTCTTTCTCTTAAACCTTGCTTGGCTCTTTTTTTTCTTAAAATTCGATTGGTTCTTTCGCCTAAACATAGATTGGCTCCTTTCTCCTAAACATTGCTTTGCTCTTTTATTCTTGAAATTCGATTGGTTCTTTCGCTAAACAATTGGGTCTTTTTACTAGATTCTTAGCCATTAATGAAATGTCGTCCACAATTTCTAACTCTGCCCTACTGTTTTATTTTTGATAGAGAATATTCCTTTTTTGGGAAAATGAATGGAATCATTCCATTCCATTCCATTTTATTCCACATGACATTATTAATCTTGCAGTAAATATAGCGATTATTAGGCCATTGGGGGGAGGTATAGGGACCCTACGCCAGTTTTCAGAATAAGATTATCAAGTTTGAGCTGGGCAATTAGGAGTAAGTAATTTTAACGGCACAATAACAGAAAAATCGGTTCTCACTTGGCCGTTTTATTGTTGTAAAATGCATCTTTAGCAAACTTTGAATTTCGAATTATCATCTTATGTGGGATTGCCAGACGTTCCAACCTAAAAATATTTAAAAGCGGGAGTTTTCCTAAATAATTTTACGTGAAGTATACGAATTTCAAATATCAATGCCTACGAAATTTGCGAATAGAATTCCACAAAAATCACTCCTTGCAAAAATAAATTCCTTTGAAACCCTAAGGCGAGTAGGTGATGGTACTTAGCCCTTACACCTATATTCGAGTCTTTTTGTATGAATCAACTTTCTATAAAAATGTAAAAATAAACTTCTATATAACGAAGATTGAGGTAACATCAACATTTGAATGCATTGGTTTTAACGACTTTAGAACAGATTTATACAAAGATTTCTCTTCCATTAAGTCTCACCTTCGAATATGCCCTCCTCCCTGAAATATCGATTTTTGCGTTTCAATAAGCCGCTTTGGAGATGAATCGAGATAAAATAGAAAGAAACACCATTTTAGTCCACGATTGATAACACCGATTGATAACACATTCAGCGATAAATTAAGTAAGCTTAGCAAACGAGACATTGACGAAGAGACCACCGAAGAAAGTTAAGATATCAATAATCAGGGGCGCCAGAGCAGGGGGCCACGGGGGCATAGACCCCCTCTTGATTAGAAAAAGTGTCCTTTTTTGAAAAATATGTTGTGCGTTTTATTTTTTCACAGCAAGATGTTTTGTCTTTAGACGCTTAGTACAGCAACCTAAGTCTTAGAATTACTGGAGAAAGCGCAAATTTCTATGATTCTCATTCTGTAACAACATCTACTGCGAACTCTCTCTTTGACTCTCTCTTTGACGCTCTCTTTGGCTCTCTCTTTGACTCTCTCTTTGACTCTCTCTTTGACTCTCTCTTTGACTCTCTCTTTGGCTCTCTCTTTGGCTCTCTCTTTGGCTCTCTCTTTGACTCTTTCTTTGACGCTCTCTTTGGCTCTCTCTTTGACTCTCTCTTTGACTCTCTCTTTGACGCTCTCTTTGACTCTCTCTTTGACTCTCTCTTTGACGCTCTCTTTGACTCTCTCTTTGACTCTCTCTTTGATTCTCTCTTTGGCTCTCTCTTTGGCTCTCTCTTTGGCTCTCTCTTTGACGCTCTCTTTGACGCTCTCTTTGGCTCTCTCTTTGGCTCTCTCTTTGGCTCTCTCTTTGACTCTCTCTTTGACTCTCTCTTTGACTCTCTCTTTGACGCTCTCTTTGGCTCTCTCTTTGGCTCTCTCTTTGGCTCTCTCTTTGACTCTCTCTTTGACTCTCTCTTTGACTCTCTCTTTGACTCTCTCTTTGGCTCTCTCTTTGACTCTCTCTTTGACTCTCTCTCTTTGGCGTCCTCAAATCTTCAGTACATATTGGTCGACCAGTGTACCACTACACACTGTATTAACTGTTTATTTTTTGTCTTGCTAGCTTTGGAAGATGACCCTGAAAAAAAGTTAGAAAAGGATAGAGACCAAAAATTTGCTTTGAAAAAGATAGAGACCGAAACTGAATTTGAAAGAGATAGGCACTGAAAATTCGCTTTGAAACAGGTAGATTGAAAATTCAAGAATATCTTTCAGTTCTGTACATTATATTTTCGGTAAGCTTTTATTTCTTTTGCATGTATGATTGCATTAATGTGGATTCATTTTTTCTTTGGTATGTTGTGAGTAATCTGAAGATTTGCTGAATATAATGCACCTTTCACGAATATTGGGAAGGGAAGGATGTGTGCCTGCCGCTCAACCGGGGCCACCTCCTCTCACAATAAAAATAGAAAGAATATTAAGTACAACTTTTTTTGAAGAAATTATGAATCAAACATCGAGGAAATATTTACACAAACAAAGAACCTCATTTCTCACGAGGATTTGAATTAATTAAGAATTAGTTATGAATTAGGTTTGCTAAAGAGTACGTGGCCCCTGAAAGGCGCACATTGCCATGTCTGCCCTCTAGCAAAAGATTGTTCTAGCTTTGTGAATAAATGAAAGCTGTAAAATGTATTGGCAATATCAAATATTACGCCAACAATTTATGTTTATGCTCTTTTTTCATTTTGCCCCCCCCCTCTGTTCCAGCCTTTAAATTTGCGGTATCCAATCTGAAACTCGAAATATTAATCATGGGGTTCCGCAAGGTAGTGTTTTAGGCCCACTTTTATTTTTACTTTACATAAATGATATCCACCTAAGTTCAGCCTTATTTGATTCTCACTTGTTTGCTGATGATACGAGCTTAGTCTTTAGGAATAAGATTTCAAAATATCTCGAAACTGTAATTTATAGAGAGCTGTTGAATGTTTCAAATTGGCTCCTTACAAATAAATTATAACTTAATGTCTCAAATCCTAACTTTTCATAATGCACCCTAAACAAAAAAATGCTAATTTTAATATCAAATTATCTATCAATAAGGAAAAATTACAGCAAAAAATTACACTAAATATCTTGGTGCTATAATTGATTCAAACCTGTCTTGGAAAAACAGACCAATCAAATTCCGTATACAGATTAGAAGTGTGTAAATTAATGTTCGAAATTCTTAATAACGATCAAAATGAACTATTTGATACATACTTTACTAAAACATCTTCTCTTCATCATTATCAAACCAAAAATTCTGCTAACAAAAACTTTTCACTCCCTTCGGTCTCAACTGAATTTAAAAGGAAGTCGATAATCTTTCAGGGCTCAAAAATGTAGAACGACCTACCCCTTGAAATAAAAAATGCAAAGATTAAAACGTTATTCACCATCTACATTCAAAGTTTTTTAATTTTAAGCGTATTATTCTTTTGTTTGTTCCTTTCCGTGATATCCTTTTGTACCGAATTAATTTTAACAATATTTGCTTAACAAGGTTGAATCATAATCAGTTTTAAATGTAGTACATGATTTATCAAATTCATGTTTTAAGACTACACAAATTCGCGTCAAACAGGGCCATGTGGCAGGATAGGTCTAATGAGTTTTTCCACATTTCCTACAGTTTTCATTTTGTATTTTGTAATAGGTACTGTTATGAAATTGATATGTAAATATCCATTTCTTGTGATTTAATGATCTTAAATTTAGAAATAGCTTTATATTTTTCGATGCTAAATCACATGTAACGAATTGCCATGGAATGAAATATTTGAATTTTTAGAAAACCCCTTCAAAACCCTTCGAATGCTTTTCATTTATATACATACGAGTACGAGGCTGATTTGCATTGGAATTCCTTTGGAATGTGAACGCTGGTGCGCATGCTTGTTTTGTGGTGTTTCCTTCCACTTCGGGATTTTATTAATCAAAATGGAAGTAGCTGAGGAATTATCGCTCTTCAAAGCTATCGAAACTCTCGTAAAATATCCAGAGGCTTTAATGTATACCTATATGATGTAACAATTATTATGCTGATTTCATTGGCTTAGGATTAACGGAATAAACGGAGCTGGTTCCTCCAGCGGCCTAAAGTTATTGCTCTCTCGGATGTTGGACAATCTAAATAAAAAATAAATGGCGACTTCTGGAAGAGGCGATGGAATGTCCGGCCGACCAGCAAGGCAACCTCCGGCCCCTGGTAATTATCCAGGGAACCAAGGTATAATACGTGGTATGAAGCAACTGCAAGTGAGTGGACCAAGCGCAATTATATCGGGTGACCAGCCGAACCCAAATGACCAAGCAACAACCCCATGGACTGTGACGAATGTGGGGCAAGACAAGCGTGCCACAAAACATGCCAAGGCATTAATGGAGATCAGAAATGACCTGCAGAGTTACGAGCAGACTGGAGATGTTGACCGAGAGCTGCTGAATCGATGTATTGCCCTTGGATTCGATGAGGTATGACGATGTGTTGTTTGTTTGTGTGAGAATATAGAAGTTTCGCCAACCTTGTTCAAAATGTGGAGTACTAACTTGTTTTTCAATGGAAATGCTGTTTAGAGGCTTCCTTAAAAAGAAGTTACTCCAAAGATAAACCTGGATATTGGTTAATGACATAGAAGTTTACAAATGTTGTTAAACATATGTTTTGTTTGGGAGGTAACAAACAATCCTCTGTAGCAGATACACATCTCATTACATAGTTCTACCCAGTTTGAACATTTAGAATCAGGGGCAGGCAGGTGAACCAGGCATCGATTTCCCATGGCTGCTGCTTCTGAGAAAATATTATTTGGTGGTGGGGTTTGTTTAATAAATTTTTGAAAGAGAAGTGTCCCTATGTACAGGTAAAAGGTTAGGAGTGTGATATGATTTTATCACTGCATCACCCCAATAATCAATCAACAAGATAAAAAAGAAACTCATACCTTTGCTTATAAAGTAGAGTATTAATTTTCATAATCCAGAATAAAATACAAAACAAAATGAAGGGCAAAAAGCTCCCTCAGAAAAACATGCCATAGACATCAGAAGGTCAGTCATACGGCTACATTCCTTCATCATGGAGAGCGAGTTGTGTTGTTGGTGCATCAGCACAAATCACTCAACCTACCATACGTGTCTTGAGGCTTTACCAAGCAAAGTAAGACCCACGCTATGCTAAAACCTTAAATACCTGTGGATTAACCAAGGTATTTTCTTGTATTGTGCAGAATGACCATAAACCACACATCTTACCCTAGTATTACAAAACAAATCATCAGAAGGGCAAAGGCTCCTTCCATTGCCCATAAACTAGTAGAGTGGATACAAGAAAAACGTGAGAAATTGTGGCACAAAAGACCATAACAAATGGCAAACAATTACCATCTCAAGTGAATTAGTTGGTCAAAAGACTAGAAAGGTCAAAAGCCCCTCGTGAGATTAGCTCTGATTAAATTTCACATAATCATCATATAAAAGACCTACTTGAAGTTTAGTAATGGTGACTTTTTATTTTATTGGTTGTTGTGTACTGTATACAAATAGATACCAAACACTATCATATCCTGGGCCCAGGGCTGTGTTGCTATGGGAGCTTGATCCCTAGGCCTCTCCGGAAATTAAAAGCATGCGGGCTAAAAAAGATCCCTGCTAGTTTGGCTGCGTGGGCTATTTAGCCCTTGCAGAATTTATTGTTTTTCAATTTATATTTGAGTATATACAAGCCAAAAAATATATTACTATCTACTTGTAAACATGATTTATCTTTAGAAGACAGTTGTTTTGTGTGCATTACTACTCCTTAAAATGACAAAAGAGATATCTGATAAAAGTCGGCGAATAACATATACATAAACCTCAAAGCATAAAGGGAAGCAGAAATGCGGATCGAAAGTAACAAGAGAGTTCAGGAAGGGTGAATGATTGGTTCTATGTTGTTGACAAATCCCAACTGCTTACCTGTCATCTTGTTGAAGAGTCAGAGAGCAAAAGCGAATTATTTCTGAGATTTTTTTAATATTTTTCCGATTGCCCAGTTGTCGTTTCTGATAGCGTGCTTCTTTTAAAAAATGAGTGTAATCTTAACACAAATTTCGTACTTGACAGTGTTGTGTAACAATTCTCATTTTTGATATTTTACGCTATCTGTTGTTCCTTTCCTACACAACCATTTTCTATTCCTTTGCTAGTTGTAATAGGTAATACTATAGTTTGTTAACATTTGATGTCAAAAGAAACGGAAATTTCCTTTTTATCACAATATTTATAAAAACCGTTTATCTCTTTGACATGATGTTATTTATGAAAACCTTGATATATAGCAGTAAGTACTTAAAACATTAGAGAGTGAGACATTGTGATAAAGAATTCAGTGAAAGTGTTGTTATAAACAACTGCGTGGGCGGAAAAAAGCCCTCTCAAAACTTTTTCATGTGGGAAAGGCCTGTTGATCCCCATTATCAATGTCAAAAAGGGAACCCATAGCTAGTTTTGCTGCTGTTTTTTGCAATACTTTCCACTCTTCCCAAGGATGATCTCAAGGCAGTTTCATTAACAGGTGTGAAATAGACCCCCTTGTCTTCCTAGAAGCTTGTTTTATGTTTTATGGATTTTATGAGACTTTGTTTTAAAGCATGTGCCAGATAATCTTTAAAGAACTTGGGAAGCCTAAGAAGACATTGTGAAAGGACCCTCTGCAAGGTGTCCACAATATCTTAATGCAATCACTGTAATTTACGTTTTTAACTACCTCTGCTATTTTGGGTGATCAGCAATTGCTACAGCTGCTCACATGGCTGCTAGGCATTTAATCCTCATTTAAATATTCAATAAACATTGATTTTAAAAGTTTGAAAGAAGTGTAAAAATGCTTCTTTTCGATTGCAAGACTTTCTGGAATTATCTATGTTTCTAGTAAATTGAATGTCTGGTCACACAATTTCATTTTTTTATATATCATTAGATTAACATTTGAAGCAGAAACAGTGATAGAGAAGGTTTCATGATCGGTTGTTTGCCTCATGTGAGGTGCCAGTGGATCTTTGTACCATACCACCGCCAGATTTCCTTTTCATTTTTGCCTACCTCTAGATCTTGATTTTAACCATACTTGCTATTAGGAAAAATACCGTATGTTACATATTTTTCATGTTTCTGTCGCATATATTTTTTGCTGTTATGGGAGTAGATATTGACTCTGATGCTCTGACAGCTTCCCTGTTTCTCTTTTTTTATTTGTGATGTTGTGGGGAAGTTCTGAGGCTTTCTTTTGCTCCTATTTCAAAGCATCACTTTTTAATGCAACACAAATTTATTGCTATTTTACTGCTGTAGTCACCAGCAGAGACATATCACCAAAATCTGTTCTTATCATTTAATGTGAGATTTTCTCTGCTAGCAGAGACTTGCAACAACAGCGATAGTGCATGCTGCTTGCTCCAGTTAGTTTCTGAAAAAATTGAAGATCTTACCTGGTTCCATCCCCAAATTAAAATATTCTAATAGATAACTGCGAAATTGGCAAAAATAAGAAAGGATAAAGCAGGCCTTGCTCTAAGCAAAATGAAGGTGCTCCATAAAAAGAGCCCCTTAGAAACTCTAGGCGCTCCATTTCGCACCTTCAAATAAAATATCCTTGAGAGCATCCTTCAAGAGCTTTGGAAGATCGAGAGCTTCATATCGAAAGCTTTGGAAGAGTGTTAAATAAGAAATTCAATGGTGATACCAAAAAGCACCATAATATGGAATAGCAAAACATGCAGCAAACACTATGTTAATACAAATATAGAAATTTAGGAAAATGCATGGCTTTAAGTCGAACATTAACTTTGGTTTCCTTTTTATGCTATCCATTCTATAAGACACACTAGAACATCTACTACTCACGAAAGCAAATGAAAACTGAAAAGCAATGCGGTAATTTGGACGGAAATGTGATCTCTGATTTGCAAAGATGATTTTAAATTATTAAGAAAAACAGAAAATAATACTTCAAAAGAAGATTAACGCTTGCTCGAAAATCAAATAAATCTGCCGGAGATGAGGGTTGATGGCCTGTGACCTTGGTGGTTATTAGAGGGTTATTAGATTAAAAATGGTATCGAAAACCCAACGTTGAATTTGCTGAATTTTTTTCTCAAGGGGTGATCTTACGCAAATCATAATATTGCGGTCTATTGGGAAGATTGTTTATGCTTGATCAAGTTTATTGGACAAATGCCAAGAAATTATTTTGCTTCGTGGTAATATTGTTTTGACGTTTTGAGGGGCTCTATAAATCGCTCTCCAAGGCTTCTTTTGGGTGCGCTCTAGGCGCGCGCGCTCGATCGAGCGCCTTTCCGGGCAAGGCCTGATAAAGCAATGGTTTTGAATTCAGTGCTTGTCAAGCTGTTCCATGCCCTGTGCTGAAAATGCAGAAACAATAGGCAGCCAGAAAACAGCTTGATTATGTACAGCTTTCACACTAATGTGATACCATTTACCAAGTTTCAGGTGCTGTTCTGATCAAGTTCAATTCGTGTTCTAAGCTAGGATTTTGTCGTTCTTTTTCACACACATATTTCCAGAGTTTTTATTTCCATGCTCTGGACTGTCTTCCAATTTTTAGATGTGTCAGTAATCCAAAGTGCCCTTGCTCGATTCAGGCACCCATATGTTTGATTTAGAGGGGAAAGAATGGATGAAACTACCAAAATTGCGAAGATACATTTTTCATTGAAGTGTTAATTGCTTTCTAGGACATTAGTTCCAAATTTATGTTGGAAAACCGACTGCGTCTTCAAATTTTTATTGGACAACATAAAAGTATCACTTTCAATGTAATGAAGTTTATCAAACAATTGAACTTTTTGCATGCTGTCGTCTTTTTTAAGATTGTTGTGTTTTTGGTTTTTATACAACAACATAAAGCATTGGAAAGTTTATGTTCAACTTTCGAGGGTAATTTGTCTTTAAGTTTGTGTATTTCTGAATTTATTTATTTATTTTGTGATTTAATTATTAATTTAATAATGATCTATCCCAGTAAATAGCGAGCCCTGTTTAAAATTAGTGAAATCGTCATAGTGGAATAACTGGAATAAAAACCACACTTTGTGAAGGCGTAAGTCACAATTTGAATGGTGGCTGAAACAGTTTATTCCATGTTGCCTAAAAGTATTGTCAGCTTACATATATGTTGCTTTATTTACAGGAAATTTCTCGCGAGACTCTTCGAGCAAACCGTGATAAGGAGTTTGGTGTAGTCCTCGCTACCTTGATGTCTCTCACACAAATTTCTGGTGGGAAGTCCATTAAAAATCTCGCTCCTGGCAGCTTGCAGTATTCAAGAGGAGGCAGCCCAGGATCAGGGTCAACTTCACGCCTAGTTCGCAATGAGCAGGCCTCGCAAAATCAAAAGTTATTTGGGCACCCATCCACACAGGTATGGAACACTAGCAGTTCAAACCCAACCAGCACAAGTAGTGTGTTTATTAAAAGTACTGCTGTTCCACCAGGTCGATTAGACAACAGGAGTGGTTTTGTGCGCGGGCAGGGTATCGATTCTTCGCTGAAAGTCAGCTCTGTTATGAGCAATGAGCCTTTGAGAGTTGAAAGGGGGCAGTTTAATGTCAGCGAAAGAAAAATATCAGAGACATCATTGAATAACTACCCTGAAGTAAGACTTAGACAAAACAGGCCCAGCAATAGAGATTCACAGAAACGATGGTCGGCAGATGTTCTTCAAAAGACTAAGGCTTTTGATTTACCAAATAAAAGAAATTCTTTAGCGTTTGAAGTCGGAGATCGAAGATCACCTTTTGACATTCCAAATAAACCCCCTCCTCCATACCCCGGCTTCACTCAAACCCACACACAACAAGAGCCAAGGTTTGATCAGTGGGTGGGTTTAGGTAAGTTGCCTTCAGGAAATGGAAATATAAAAAAGATTGCAAGCATGGAAACGATTGCGAAAATCGGGACAGAATCACCAAGAATTAACAGTCCGGTTACGATTGTCAGTGACAACAGAAAACAGTTCCTGAACGGAAGTGAAATGCAGACAGTACCACAACCTGATGTGTCTGCATATTCAAATATAACATTAAGTAAGCAGTATCAGTTAAGAGATCCACCACCGTACCATTCTCATTTGCCTTTGAAGAGGACATACAGTCCCAACGAAAGAACAAATGCGTCTGTTGCACCTCGGCATTATCCCGCTTCTACTTTAAGTCAGCAGGTACAATCTTTTCCCCATTCAAATGGACCGCAAATTGTTACTGTAGACAGCGCATTCATACCGATCAGGCAAGACAACTTCCCTGAAAATACATCAAACAGCGGGCCAGATGAGATTTCATTGTCACGTGGATCACCTCCACCCTATCCTGGATTGGAATCACGTTTAACGGCAAAAGAAAAACGATTTTCTTATGCGTCTGATGTAGATTCAGGCACATCCAGCAAACGTGCTTCTGCAATATTCGCAGATGGATCCACTCAGTCCGACTCTTCTGGAAGCACGTCTCCTACTCCTGAGGCGATAGAAAGCCGTTGCTCTCCCCTGCCGATGACCAACTCACCATTCCACACGCTTGTCATTCATTCATCTGAAACAGAGGCTAAAGTGGATGAAGATACTGCCAAATATGAGAAGGAGCCAGTAAGTTCCCGTCTAAAGGGTTGCTCGTCACAAGCATTCAAGTTTTACATGGAGCAGCATGTAGAAAATGTTCTTAAATCACAGCAGCTTAGAGAAAAACGTAGAAAACAGCTGGAGATTGAAATGAGACGAGTAGGTCTGTCTGAAGAATCTCAAACAGAGATGAGAAAAATGTTAGTGCAAAAGGAATCGAATCATATTCGAATGAAGCGATCTAAAATGACTCGTTCCATGTTTTCCAAAGTAAAGACTCTGGGCATGGGTGCTTTTGGAGAAGTTGCTCTTGTTAGAAAGATCGATTCGAATGCACTGTACGCTATGAAAGTGCTCAGGAAAACAGATGTGCTTCGCAGGAATCAAGTAGCACATGTCAAAGCAGAGAGAGACATCTTGGCAGAGGCAGACAATGAATGGGTCGTTAAGTTGTATTATTCGTTCCAGGATAGTAATAATTTATATTTCGTTATGGAATACGTGCCAGGAGGGGACCTTATGGCACTTCTTATTAAGAAAGGGATATTCAGCGAGGAATTGAGTAAATTTTATACAGCAGAACTTGTTTTAGCAGTAGAGTCAGTACACAAAATGGGATTTATTCATCGCGACATTAAACCTGACAATGTGCTTATAGACCGAAATGGACACATAAAGTTGACTGATTTTGGCCTTTGTACTGGTTTTCGATGGACCCATGACTCAAAGTATTATCAGCAAGACCCTAATCATGCAAGGCAACCGAGTATGGAGCCAGAAGGGGGATGGGAGAAGATGCTTGACGATGGTCAATGTGACTGCGGAGACATCATCCGGAAGTTTGATTTATGTAAGCCATTGGATAGGAGGGCAGTGAGACAGCATATGCGTTGTCTTGCGCATTCATTAGTCGGAACACCGAACTATATAGCACCAGAGGTATTGCTTCGTATACCATACACACAGCTATGTGACTGGTGGTCAGTTGGTGTTATTCTTTATGAAATGCTGGTTGGACAGCCGCCGTTTCTTGCAAAATCTCCAGCTGATACTCAGATGAGGGTAGGTTTTTTGTTTGATAGTCAAAAGCTGAAAATTATTTCTAATTATCCTTTAGTAGAATACTTACTTTTTAAAATATCCAAGTTCTCGTTTTCTATGTAGCGCATTTCTTAGAACCTCAGTAAAATTTCCTGTTTTGTCGCTTTTTCTGGACCTCTCCTGCCTTTCTTGCAAAGCCTCATGTAAACAGACAAATATTTTCTGTGTTTTCAAGGGCTGTGTCCAAAAACATCCCTCATTTCATCTCTCTTTTTTGATACATCAAGGTGCAATTACGTACCTATTTTTTCTGAAAGTGAGTGAAGTCGCCAATTCGAAAACTTTTATTCGATTGCTTGTGACAATAACTGTTTAGTATAGCTGAGTTAATATCTTTCTCTATTCTGTATACCTGTAGATATTTGCAAATTAGAATGAAGCCGTGCTCGGTATCTGTATCAAGCTAAAAATAGATTTCGGGCTGGTGATAGGCAATATATACTAACATTGAAAGCATCTTTTTGTTGGCAGGTTGTTCACTGGCAAAGTACATTGAGAATTCCGCGTCAAGCAAAAACAAGCTCCCATGCTGAAGATCTAATCTTGCGGTTATGCACCGGGGCTGAAAATCGCATTGGTAGACAAGGAACGGATGAGATCAAGAAGCACCCCTTCTTCAGCGGTGTTGACTGGGCTAATTCGTTGAAAAACAAACCCCCGCCTTACATTCCAAAAATCAAACATGCCACTGATACTTCCAATTTTGACTCAGTTCCCGAAAAGGACACTATGAATGAGGGGGATGACCCTTATGACGAAGAGAAGCGGAAAATATTAGAAAAGGCTCCGCAGCATGCTTTTTACGAATTTACCTTCAGAAGGTTCTTTGATGAGGGCGGTCATCCCCAAGCGTTGTGCATTGAAGAGGACACATTTGTAAACCCACAGCAAGAACAGAATAGCTGTAATGTCCCAAACAATAAAAGAAGTGTGACAACGAGTGACAAATCCGTTCCTGTACCAAGTAAAGTTGCAGCACCTCCATTTAATCAACCGAAACTGGAAGATAAGGCCCCAGTGTATGTGTAGCAGGTCACTGCAAGTCTTGCTGAAGTCGTGTACTTAATTGTAAGTCATCAGAAATCAATTTTTGGGAAACTTTGGCTTTATCAACTCTTCAGAACACGCAAATTGTACAAAAATGGTACTTTCTTTGCAATAAAAGGGGAAGAATGAAGCGTAAAGTAAAAATGATTTGGTTCAAGAGGGCATCGTTGCAACCCTTCTGTAATCATTCTAGTATTAAAAGTAGTTTATTTGCACTTTATTTCGCCTACTCGTATAAATGTACCCTTTGCTGCTTTATGAGAAATTCATTGCAAATACTAACCTACAAGATGATTAATCTTATATGTTTCATTTTACAGAGGACTTGCTGCCTCAACAGTCTTTGCTTTTCCGTCTACTCAATGATTATTAATGAAGTTTCATTTCGCCAACTTCAAGCGGAGGGTTTGTCTCGTTTGATTTTACAAGGCAGAACAACCCTGTTCTATGCTTGTAGATCTATTACACCTAGTTATGAACTCTTTTGATATTTTTAGATCAAGGAAATACGAACAATAATAATCAGTATCATATTAGCTACACAGTAGCCCTAGCAAAATAGTGTAGCATTTCCCATGATGTTTTTTGGCTTTAAAGCTACCCATGTTATTCAAAAAGCCTTTGTCGAGTGTTTCTTGCCATTAACAAATTAACGTGTAGCAAACAATGCATGAATTGTACAGTCAGATTTAGCATGCAATTTTATACAATCCTAATACCTGTACATGTGTCATATAACGTTTTCGTCATAAATTTGAACTGTTAATTCTGATGTTTATCAGGTGAATTTTCAATGTATTTTCAAATAATTTTGATTTGAAATAATCTATTTTGTATACATATTTAATAACCAGTAGAACATACCCCATATTGTGGGAAAATGTTTGTTTATCAAGCTCAGTGAATCTGCAATGACGTATACAACCAAACTAGACAACCATTGCTTTGTGACCGACCGCCGGTCCTGTAGCCGACCGTAAATGCTTATCTCAATTCGTAACATCATCATGGAGAGGGTGAGCTTGGTATCGCATTGGTATCGCAATAAATGCACACGTCAGCCGCCTGAAAGCTGGAATATGAAAATGTATCTCGAAATATTCCGTCTTATTTTCATTAACCTTGAGATGTCGCATCGGATAGAACCTCTTTTTAATGCGATTGCATGCCAATCCCATCATACTACTTGCATTCAGGGGCCCTTCATTCTACTTTTACGTCTATACTCGCGCCGTACAGGCCCCCTTGACCACAGAAGCAGCATCCATGGGGAAGGAAGCCTGTCAGCCCCTGAACAACAGCAATACGGTATGCTTAATCTGCTTTGCGTTTCCAATTTATGAGTTTTTGCGTGGAAGCTTCAAACTTGTATCTTCAAGAAATACGCAGCAGAGCCAGGCAAGCAGTTACGGATCAATTTTAATTTTACACATCAATGATGTCATAATTTGTTTTACCTTTGTACGAGTGTAGAAAGTGCTTGTTGGAACATTTTATAGGAAAGTCGTCAGTTCAGAGTTCTAAAGAACTTTTGCGAAAGATTTAGTTATCATGGAAAGCATTTAGAATATGTACTCTTAGAAATGTAAAGAACAAAGTTTCTCTTGGTAGCTGCTTGTCAAAAATTATCTAGCCTTAGAAACAAAGGGATTTCTCCGGGAAAATATCATCGTTTAAAACGATAAAATTGAATTGACAGAGGGCGTTGTGAAGTAGAGACGAATAAAGGCAAACAGTAAGTTTTTGTCACAACGGGACTTACAGTACTATAATGAGCAAACATTCTTGATAGTATGTGCGCCCTAATCACCCAACAAGCAATACGTAAATCATTCAAGCGCACGATACAGCTGCATTAAGAGAGGAGACAGCAAACCGTTAGAAGTGATTTTCATTTAGGCGAGATATTCTTAACCAGTTAAGAGAGCAATGATTACAATGTACTTCTGCCAATGAATAGTAAACGTTGAACGTCGAACTTCAACGATCGAATTTGACAACTAAACTTTAGTTACAACTCTTGCAACCCTATTGTACAATCGTCTTGGTTATAACATAAAAAATCGTTTAATATCGAGGCAGAAATCTTTTATTTCTTCAAAATATTGAACCAAAATTAATCGCTACACTATGTTAGAATTTCGTAATGGAGATTCAAATTCATCACACTGATTTTATCGAGCTAAATGTCTCAACATTCCTAGTATTGATAAGGTTTAATACATTCAGGACACTTTTTGTCATTCTTTTTCACAACAAATGCGGAATAAAAGTGATAACTCCCAAAATTAAATATGGAAGGTCCTAGTGCTGCACGATCTAAACAGCTAATGTTTATACGTCATACATGCCTTTAAGGACCATTTAACTACATGTCCTACTTCCCAAATATGAAACGAGTAAGGCAGAGGAGCGGGAAACACTTTCTATAATATTTAAATATAATACAATATTTAAAAGTTCTTAGTAAGAGACTTTTAAATAAAGATGAATAACCTGAAAATTATAGACAACGCAAATAAGCAAACTAGGCAAAATTCTTTGCCACATTCGGGATTATATGTGAATGTATACCTCCAGCATTGTTCCGTGACTCTATCGTGTTAAGTTCCTAAATTTATAGGTTATGAGTTATCCAAATTACGACAGTTGAACAATGGCCACTTTCAAACACACAATAGAATGGTTACTAAGCACAATCGAAATTCTCTTTAAATCAGATCAACTCTCTTAAATGGACTTTCTTCTTTCTTAATTTTTAAAACATTAAAACTGCTATAGTTAAGTAGTATATTATTTACAACACCTTCTGCGAGATAATACTTTTTGGCAATCTTTTCTGGTGTCCATTCTTGAGGGTCATGTCTCCTTAAAGAAAACATTTCAAAAATTTGTTCACAAGTTACTTTGCCAGGCACTATTCTTTGACCTTCGTTCCTCGATGATAGGCTCGTCAAGCTATCGTATGGCACCTATGGTAGAAAAGACTCGTGACAGATCTACGTTACATCAAAAGTGTTGCAGATACAAGAACTTGTGTTTCAAATCTTCAAACAATTCTCTCAGACGCAGGTTACAGCTTTCCGGCATTTATTTACTCTGTTTTTTATGCATTGGCAGCTTGGCTGCGATGACTAAAGTAATTTCATCACAAACAACAAAATAACTCCAAGGAATAAAAATTTTCACCTTATATTCATATTGACACAGCCAAAGAGAATACATATTAGGCAACTTAAAAAGAAAGTCATAAGAAAGATGTATGAAACCCAATAAGCAAATTGAGGTTACGGTAAACGTTTTCTGGATAAAAACATACCAAAGTTGAACCTAACAGACATTTTGAAAATGGAAAAAATCCCATGTAAACGAAGGTTTCAATAATTTCTTTATCAAAACTTTAAGTTGAGGTCTGAAAATCGCTTGACCTGTTAAGCCGATTATTGTTGCTTTGCGGTTGTGGTCGCATGTCTCATTTACAATGGCACACCCATGCATCCCATGTACGGCTGTGTTTATTTAAACAGGCTTATGATCTTAAAGCTTTAAATGACTTGACCCGGATTACACTGTGGTTTACGAGTGTACCTTGCAAGCAGTGGCGGCTTTAAGGGGGCTCCAGGGGGGACATGGCCCCAGGCCCCGCGCTTATGTTAAAAGGGGCCCCACACCTAAGAGAAAAGATGGAAATTGTAAAGAACAAGGGCCCCGCAGATGCTTTTAGACCCGTGCCCCGCAGTCCCTAAAACCGCCACTGCTTGCGAGTGCAATCAGTAAAATCCCATTTTCTTCCGACTTACAAGTCCTCTACATACAGGTACGAAAAATCTATTTTGTACCCAAGGAACCAATCGAATGGCTCAACAATTTGCACACGGCCAGGACAGATGTCAGGTCTGCAAGGTGTCTCAAAATTTTTGTATTGGCTCCAGTCCATCTTTTATAGCCAAATACAGCCATGAGAGTGAAGAAAAGTTGTTTGCCAATTTTTGACAGGGTATAGTTTCAAGGGGAGGAGGAATTTAAAAAATCTGAGAAACCCTTTGGTGGCTTAGGATCTCCGCTTTCTGCTGATATAAGTCAGATTTTGATACCTCAGACGCAAGGATATAAAATAGCTTTTGAAGGTGGTAAACTCATTTAAGCGATAAATCTGTCTGGAAAGTATCATTTTACAATATTTGCCAATTACTTTGATATAGTTGGAATCACCACATTCTTGTGCATCGAATGATGTATAGCTTAATCTGATTCCGTTAAAAGTTTGGTTTTTAGGGAGAGAAAACCAAATATCGTGGCAAAAATGTTTACTGTAACCTTAAGAGTGGGATGACCATAAATAAAAATAGGCAACAAATCAAAATGAAAGATCCATTGCTACCAGACATTTGATACAAATATAACTTGCATACAGCTTTATTTCACTGGCAAATATCGTATCTGTTAATTGTCTTTAACAGGGTCCTAACTCAAAATGACCTTTCTTACAACTGTCAACTTCTGGCTTGGGAGGATGAATCTACAAAACATATGTTTGATAATTTCTAGATACTCATCTTTTGTAAAAAAGGCAATTTTTCTTATATTCATATAACACATTCATATTCAATAAACAATTCATATATTTCCTTTATCAATGAAAATTAAGGCAGGTATAATCCAGCATTTCTTACCTTTTCATCAACAGAGTCAACTCTTAGGTCACTAAGCAGTTTCAGGTACTCTGTATCCTTCACTTTATCAATGTCTTGTAAAACAGGATTTTCTGCAACACAATCTTACTGAAATCAATCTTACATTCTCCACAATAAAAAATGTTCACAAATTAAAGTCTGAATTGAAAAAAAACAATTGTTTCTTCAATTTTTAACAAAAATGAGAACCGATATCAGTGGCAAAATGTGGATAAAAAGTGCAATGAAACCAGCACACAGCTTATGATTTCATTTGAAATCATATTTGAAATCATTTGATAAAACCCTAGAAATAGGTCTTTCAGTAATCCAAAAACTCTTAGAAGAGCCAGCATCTTCTGTTGGTCCAGCTTTGCTACAGAAATCATTAAATCTGGTAAGGTCTCAGTTAGCTCAAGTGTTGAGAACAAGCTAGATCAATAGGCAAATAATACAAAACCAAGCTGTTGTGTTGGAACAAATACCATTATTAAGGGGCTACAGACTTAATCTTGTGTTGGAACAAAGACTTCAAGGGGCTACAGACAGAATATTCTGTATTTGCTGATTGAGAGGTACTTTTGATTATGTCTATTTAAGGTTCTAAGGCTCATGGCTTGTGAGTATTTGCATGAAATACTCTCATGTTTCATACTCTTTAAATCAAAGTTGCATTAAAGACCTTTAAAATACATGCAATAGAAAAGTGGTGCATCAACAAAGCACCACCACCACAAGCTCTACCCTAACAAAAATTTGTGCACGTACAGGCAAACAGCTTGAACAAGGAACTCAATTCTGTTTCTTTAGAAAGATCAATGGTCAAAAACATTGATCCCCTTTTGAGAGACTCATTTCAAGTACTGAAATCAAATTAGGATATTGAAATATGACTTTAATGTTGATGATGTTCTTTGTGTTGATGTGGAACAATCATCCAATACTGATAGAATTAGGATCAGCTGGAGTGCCCCCATATTGCAATTCTGATTGCAAATGGAAACATATTATGCAATAATTTATTCCTCAAAACCCACTTGTTAAAGGAGAACTGACACGCAAAAATAACTTTGGCTAAAACGGTAGTTCGTGACAAGCAAATTCCGGGATCGAAAAAAATTTTTAAATCACAGTTACCGTTTTTGGAATACAGGCGTTTTAAGTTGAGAAACGACAATTGTTCCGACAACTTGAGACTCGAGGCGAAAATCGTCACGAGTGGGCGATCATCTTTGACGTCACAAGTGACATGTTCTCAGCACGTATTGTGTTTCTCTATAGAAACCTTTAACAAAATGCTGCGGACAAACGTTTATTTTGTGCATGTGAAAGGAGTTAATTTTGCATTTATGACACATAATTGACTTTTTCAATGGTTTGGGACTCTGAATCCGAGTTTTATTACACTGATTTCGAGACAAATGGAGAGTTTAAGCCGTCTGAGTTTTTGCTACCAGCCAGCGCTGCCGCTTGGGCAGACAGTCGTCCCATGGCTCAACAGTGACAATGTTATGAACAAAGAATAGACTGGAAGTACAAACTGATATGGAATTTCTGTTAAAAACAATGCTATTGCTACAATCTAAATGAGATCAGGTATCGTAAAACTAGAATTTCATTTCAGATTGAGGCGTCTTTGTCCAGACTGCTTTCTCTGTATGGCCTAATTCGCTGAAATGCCTATGATGATGCCCTAAACGGAACTGCAAGTTATTCATTATTAATGTAGCATTCTATGATTGTTTTTCAATGTTTCAAAACGAGTTAACTGTATAGTGGTATTAAATAGTAAAGGCGGGTTAAAAGTCGACTTGTGCGGATTATATGCCATTTTCACCGGACGTGAAGGTTTCGGGAACTGATAAGTTACCTGGCAGTCGAAAAATCTGGATTTACGAAATAGGCTCTTACCTCTTAGTCAAAGAACTTGATTTCTTAGTCGAAGAAAATGCTGTTTAGCTGTCATAGGAATATCAACTGGCACATTCTCTGCTTTTGCAAGCAATTTTGACTTGGGTGGAGGATGGTCTTTTTGCAAGACTAGGTTTTCCTAGTATCTCAACCTCTGTTAAAATACGATAATCAAGTTCAGTGAAATTATTATTTAGTCACACTCGCAGCTCCCATCAACCGAAGTTTTCTCTTGAATTCATATTTCTGCACCCAAAGCAGGTTGCAGGATCGCTTTTACCACTGTCTCCACTAGATTTTGTTTGTCTTTTGGCTATTGCTTCAACCCCACCCCCCCCCACCCCCATGTTGCGGTTTTATTTGTAATTGTAAAAATAAAAACTTTTAAGAAACGGTATCAGTTTTCAAGCAAAGTCGACTCCTTTTTTCACAAGCTTTGAGGTTCTTTCAATGTTTCGAAGCATGCTGCTTCGAAGATATCATGGCATAAAAATAAATTTTATGTGGATATTAGCGTCTTATCAGACATGTAGCTAGGATTTTTTAGCTTCTTTATACTTATAAATGAAATGCCTGACAATTTTTTGTCTTTTTATCGCACACTATTTTCAATAAAACACGAAACTTCATTTGTACTTTCACCGTTGCGGTCAAAGCCTTTACAGCGGCATTGTTAACATGTCACTTGTGACGTCAACCGAGAATTTTAACAACTCCTGGCGATAATCTTGTTTCCGCTTCGGGAAATTCCCGAGTCCTGGCTGTGACGTAATTGACGGATAAAAGTGCAAATATCAGGAAAACGGCGAATCTCAGAAGAAAACTTTTTCCAGATTTGAAGTCACCGACAAATTTTGCATCGAATAAGCCAAAGTTATCTTTGCGTGTCAGTTCTCCTTTAAGAACATTTTTTTAAAATAAAGGTTAGCATAGCATTATCTGTTATTGTCAGTAATTTGAAACATAGTTTGTCCCAATCCTAGTGCAAAAAGACCTTGCAATCTGCCAGGAGGCCTTGGTTTAATCTTTGTACCTGTACTCTTTCTTTATCATTTAGTCATGTACTAGGCGGTTTGAAAAGAATGTTTCTTTAAGTTTATTTTGCTGATGTTATATTGCAGTTTAAATAAATGGCCTTTTGTATTGTATTTATGGCTAGCTAGATGTAAGGAACTCTGCAGACTGGTGTCATACTTTCCAGTAATCATCTTGTAGGATTCTATCATGTCTCTACCATATCAGCCAGGGTGCATTTCATCTCAACTGTTTGCAAAAGGTCAAACGGGGTGTTTGTTTAGGTACACTGAAAATACAAGCAATTAGTAAAAACTGTAAATATTGTACATCAGACAAAGAAAACTGATTAAGAGAGAAAATTGTGGTGTAAAAGTCTTTACTTTATTCTTTTCATGTCCACTATGTACATGACTTTTTGTCTTCCATCAAGATTTACATACCCCCAAAAATTTTATTGCTTTGCATGCCAAACATCCCAGACTGAGAAGTTTGGTCTGTGCGGGGAATTGGTTCCCCACTCAATAAATTTTACCTTTCATTTCGCCCGCGCATTATCAAGAATCTGCCATAGATTCTGTGCAAAATATTTGTTTATCTGGTCATGTTCTCCGCGAATATTCAACTATTTAAACTTCTGACTTTTGATAACAAGAAAAAACAAAAAGCAAACTAGGTCTCTTTGAAAGCCTTTGCTTCATATTCCGCTCCCCGCACGATTTCGCGGGAAACGTTTGTTATTCGCAAATTTCAAAATTATAGTTCTGGCCTTCCCTGCGCAGAAAAAATACTTTACATTCAGCAAACGCCGAAAAAATCCGAGTGTTAGCCGAAGATCTTCGGGCCTAAGTACATGCAGTGCACCCTGGCATATGAGACACGAGAGCTGTTTCATTCCTCTAACATTTTAGTGGTAGAAGTTTAGTGGATCTTCTTTGTACCTCCTCTAACATTTGTTTTCCGCTTAAGATAAATGTATTGTCTAAATTCGATTGTTGCTGTTTTAATGATAAGCTAAAAATGTATACCGTTTATAAGGTTTTGAAATGCTTGTTCAGTGGAAGGATGTCGAGGTGCATGTCGTGGCTTTTCTTTTGATATTTCTCGGTGCATCCTTGTTTCATTCATGACACTGTTCGATACAATTTTGGAAAACTTCGATCTGACGGCCCCCATCTCAACTTCTGATTTTGAATTCTGAGGGATTCTGATCAAAACTCCAGAGCTTGCTGTCTCGTCCTATTAATATAAACTCGTTTTGATTTCAAATTTCAGTCGAACTTGTGCCAAATTGAGGCTGTGTTGCCTAGGAGCTGAGAGGCCATAATGAAAAATAAACCAGAAGTTGAGGCAAACCAAATACTTTCAAGTTTTATTTCTGAAGCAACCAACACTTTTTAGCTTATCTTGAAGTATGGCAGCATCGCTATTTCCTTTAGCAACCCCAGGTATGAAATTGGTTTCTTCTGCTAGTAATTTAATCTTGTATTTTTTCACATTGGGGTAAGTAAGAAACATGTTGACCAAAGTGCCCTTGCGCCAAAACTACTAATCCATTAACCAATATCGTTTGTAGTTATATGTAGTTATGTAAAGTAGGGGTGTTGTAGTGAGATTATCGTGTATCTCCGTCATGGGCCAAGCCTTTTTGGAGACAGACATTGTAGATTTTGTAGATTGTAGGTATAGCCGGATAACCAGACCCCGATTTAATCCAATTGGGGTACCGAAATGCAATAAATGTTGCCTGTGGGAGTCCCTATGTCTCCTACGTTTTCTGCTAGTTCAGCTGATAATTCTTCATTTATATTATTTTCATTACACTCATTTTTTATAAGAAACAAGTTATAAGAAACGGGAGGCTAAATTTCTCGAAAGTTAAGAAGTGTGGCCCTTAATATAAATGCATGGCGTTTGGCCCTGAAATACAATATGAAGAAGCAAAAAACAAAATTTATAATTTACTTTTTACAATATATCATCCTTTTTTAGTCCAATAAAAATTATCTTATGACAGAACTTTATCTTTTATCGATAAAATGGAGTTAAAGTAGCTGTGTTTGTTGTAACTGAGATATGTTCAGTCTTTTTGAACTTTTTTGGTTGCAGTTTAGCCCTTATCCATATCTCCCAAACTTTCTCTACAATTTTAAGAGCTGTAAACAACACAATTGCCACTAAACTCAGTCAGAGCAAAAGTTAACTGGTTGTTGTGTAATTAGTTGTATAGTATAATTTGTGGAATTGAATATGAAGCGTTTTCAATGTGGGTAGGGTGAAAACACATACTATGTAAAATAAACCTTTAAACCATGGCTGATGGTGGTTATGAAATAACAATGATTGTGCAACACACTAAAATACTTCATGAGAATGGTCATACTTCTATACACAGGACTGCCTCCCTGGTTCCTCCTATTAACTTTCTTAACACTCAAAGTCTTAAAATTTCTTTCTCAGAAAAATGATCAAAAATTTATTAAGGTTAGAACTAAGATGTGACTGGCATAGTTAGAAAATATTTCAAGTTATTGTTTTTATTGAGATGATTTAGCAGTTTTAAATAACTATAGAGCTAAATGCTCATATGTCAGTGCAACGAGGTCAGAATAAAAAAACTAGCTAAGAAGGCCTGAAGGGCTGGTTTTACAAATGATATAACTAAAATGATATGCATGTAATGATATCAATGCTCAAGCTGATCTGTGAAACAATGTCAAGGGCATAAGAATTTTGTGAAGAATTTTTGATATGTTATTGTGAAATTTAGCTACTAGCTAGATGATGATTTACTAGATGATTTAGTTATAAAAATTTTGCCGTTTTGAATAATCAGGTTCTTTCTTAGAGAGAGTTTGGAGTTTTGGAGAACTGCTCTTTTTCATTTGTTTGCTTAAGAATTGATTTATATGCAATAAGTAGTGAAATGGAAAACTTCTTTTGCAGTTCCAACAACAAAGGTATCATTTGGCACAACTTTGTCAAGGGAACTCTTGCCTCTGAAACCACCACATACTAGAGCAGGAAATGAACTTGGTCTCAGAGGCCAACCAAATTTAGGTCCAGGAGTATATAACAACAATGAGGTAATTCACAGCTTTGTTTCTTATGTCAGTGTATATAACTTTCTAAGCCTTTTGCTACACATCAAACCAGCTGTGTAAAAAATCAAGCTAACCTGCAATGAAACTGCAGAAAAGTTAGGATTGTGAATTCTAAAAGAGAATGAACTCTTCATTTCTTTCAAGATTGCTTATTGATCAAAAGAGTACTCTGTCTTGAATAAATGATTTTTCTCTTTCCAGGTCAGCTCATTTGTTTATAAGATAGATCAAAAGCCAGTCTCTAAGAAAGGATACTCTCTTGGATCAAGAACTGCTCCAAGATTTAATAAGGAAACAAATGTATGTTGCATGATTCCTTATCCTAAAATTTAATGTCATTTACTTAATATGTTAACTTGCATGAAACTTATCATTTTTCTAGTCAGTCTTGTATGTTGGATAATTTTGGGCAAGAGGGACTTCAGATGATTTTATTATTTTGGGTATCACAGCTTAACACATGATTCAAGGAAAACAACCCTAAAATGGCTTCCAGTCTCTATTGTGAGACAGGTACAATCAACTCTGGTTGAAGTTACCCCCACTTTGCTGATTGGATGGATGCATAAAAATTTTTCTATTGTGTTAACCAATAAATGGGAAATTTAAATGACCAGTTTAATACGTGGTGACATAGCGCCTTGAAATATTTAAAACTTTACAGATCAGCTCTGCTAACAGTCACACTCTGCTAACAGTTTTCAAACAATATTTTGTGCAATTATAACCGGAGTCTACTTTCTTTAAGGTGAAAAAACAATGTGCATAATTTCTTGAGAATGGATATATAAGCTTTATATCCACATATTTTCATATCTTCAGGCAGGTATTCCTGGCCCTCCTTCATATCAGCCCATTATCAGCAAAAGTAGAAAATTCATTCAAGCATACAGACCATTTCAATGTGGTTCTGCCAAACTCCCTTCGTTGAAGCAGGATGCAACACCAGGGTAAGCCTTAAATGTATTTTGTTTTTAGATTTCAGTTGCAAGTAATATTGCCTGGTTTTGCCAACATCGTTGGCCTGCTTATTCGGAACTTGATTATCATAAAGCTGCTTCTGTCCAGTTGAATGAAATATAAGTCAGAATCATATTTGACCATGGATATTGGGAAAGTGAGAAGGTGTAAAGACATAGAGATGTAAAAAGACTGGCTGCCTTTTTAAAATATTCTTAGGACTTTTCGTAAGAAATATCCCACTAGTGTGATCCGGCATACTGGAAAAACCGAGACCCTAGGACCCTAATGTTCTTTGTGGTTAATGGTCCTAGGGTCATAGGGTCTGGTTTCTCCAGTATGCCGTGTGGTCCAGCATTTGTGCGATTTCTCTTGCACGAGGAACCTCTCATTGTAGTAAGAACAAATGTTAAAAATACAAATTAACATGCTAGAAGTGTCTGTGATGTTTATAAAAGCCTTATAATCCTGACATTAGGTACTTTGGTAAGGTAACACCAAATGAAAATGAACTGTTATGATGATCTTAATGCACTCACATGCTTTGTTTATAATTTTATGAATTTTGCTTTTTCTATCTTTATGATAAATTTAGATTTTTGCTTAATTTTTCAATAAATCATCTTTTTCACTTAGTGCTGGCGCCTATGAACATCAAGTTGCAAAAAATCGCAAGGTCCAATTTCATGGTGCATTTGGTGGTCCACAAACCTTAAAGACTTCAATAACTCTTATTTGTCACAATGGAGATCCAGATATAGTGAGTTCATAGATATTTTCCATTGTCATGTTTCAGTGGTGACAAGGTGACAGTAAAAGTGTGCAAATATTCATACATTTTGTGGTGATGTGCTGGTTTTTATACAGGATGGTCTTGAAATGAAAATGTAAATAGCATCATACTTCATCAGTTGAAAATAACACCTGATGTATTGATGAATGTTATCATAATATGCTGTTTGGTTGATAAAAATCTAACCCCTGTTTGTTGCAATAGTTCCTCTCATATATGAATTCAGCTCAATGTAATTTTTCATAGAATTGGCTTTAAAGGGTCTTAATAGCAAAGTTCATGGTTTCACTTACTCTAAAACTAGTGATTACTTTATTGTGTTTGAAAAATGGTCATGAAAAATCTCCTCTTGTGGTTATTTTGTCAGATTGGTTTTTGCAGCTTCTAGCCAAGTCTTAGGCTGGCTTATACTGTCCTTGAGCCTTGCTTTCTGAAACCAAATAAAATACAATAATTTACGAGTAATATATATTTGGTCTGTCTAGAGCCTATTTGACTGATATCCAATAGTTCTTAATGTAAGCGTTTTGTAATTATTTTATTTTGTAGTGTGCTTCCTGTCTTAAAATGCCAAATGGTGACTACTATAGGAGCAAGTCAAAAGCCCTTTGCAGAGATTGTTACTTCGCAAAGATGGCTACTAGTCAGGCAAAATCCACAAAAAGGTAACATTGCTTGCTTTCTTATTTTAAAAAAAAATCTGAAATGGCGCTTGGACGTCTGGACAACATAACGTTGAAATAGTGAGGTTTAAGTTTTTTTAAGCTGAGGTAAGCAGAGAGTAGCATAGGGTAAAAGGTGTTTTTTACATTTACAGCCTGTTGAAAACTGGCCTGTATAACATTACCATACTAAGTTGCAACTCACGCTTTATGCAGTCAATTGTTAGTTAGATAAGCAAACTCGGATAAGCAACCCCGGATAAGCAAACTCGGATAAGCAACCCCGGATAAGCAAATTCGGATAAGCAAATTCGGATAAGCAAACTCGGATAAGCAAACTTGGATAAGCAAACTTGGATAAGCAAACTTGGATAAGCAAACTTGGATAAGCAAACTTGGATAAGCAAACTTGGATAAGCAAACTTGGATAAGCAAACTTGGATAAGCAAACTTGGATAAGCAAACTTGGATAAGCAAACTTGGATAAGCAAACTTGGATAAGCAAACTCGGATAAGCAAACTTGGATAAGCAAACTTGGATAAGCAAACTTGGATAAGCAAACTTGGATAAGCAAACTTGGATAAGCAAACTCGGATAAGCAAACTTGGATAAGCAAACTTGGATAAGCAAACTCGGATAAGCAAACTCGGATAAGCAAACTTGGATAAGCAAACTTGGATAAGCAAACTCGGATAAGCAAACTCGGATAAGCAAACTTGGATAAGCAAACTTGGATAAGCAAACTTGTATAAGCAAACTCGGATAAGCAAACTTGGATAAGCAAACTTGGATAAGCAACCCCGGATAAGCAAATTTGGATAAGCAAACTCGGATAAGCAAACTTGGATAAGCAAACTTGGATAAGCAACCCCGGATAAGCAAACTTGGATAAGCAAACTCGGATAAGCAAACTTGGATAAGCAAACTTGGATAAGCAACCCCGGATAAGCAAACTTGGATAAGCAAACTCGGATAAGCAAACTTGGATAAGCAAACTTGGATAAGCAAACTCGGATAAGCAAATTCGTACCATCTTATGTTCTTTGTATAATCATTCCCCTCCCTCAAATCCAATACATTTGCTTTTTATCTCCATAAATCTCATTAGAAATATTATTTAGCCGTCTAAAACTAATTATGCTATTTGTTTTCAGACGAAAAGAAGAGTTCATAAAAGTTCGAGACTGTACAGATGTACATGGGCACGAAGGAACAAATGCCAAACTAAGAGTAAGGATACTTTCCATTTCATAAAGCCATTTCATATTGGCGATTGGTATAGATAGGCGTATGGCGATTTCTCCTTTCTATTTCCGCATTAGTTAGTTATTCTTTGCTATTGATTCCACGGTTAGCCACTTGCTTTATTCACATTACACTTCTTGCTGAAAAACCCACTTGCATTGAAACACCACGGGTGTTATTGCTATTGGTCTATAAAGACCCTGCATTTCAGTGGAATTACCTTGCAAGCAAAATTCGATATGTTTGTTTTTTGCTAGTCTCAACTTGTGGCTATCAGAAAGTATACATTGATTGCTGTTAACAGAATGACTCGTGTTTATGTGGCATCTTTTAGAATGTAATCTTTTATTCCCATTGCAGCTCATGAGTGAAAAGGACATAAAGAAGTTGCGAACTCGTGAGGCGTATATGAGTCTTTATTACTGATATTCTGTAAATAGAATCCCGCAGTGTATAATTTTCTGTGACGTTTTGTTTTCCTAATACTTGACTTTATCAACTGTGAATGTTGGGTAGTTAATACATTTAAGTAACTGAATTTTTTTAAAAAGTAGCATTAAAACAGAGACAATTATTTTAACTCTGCGTTAATCTACGTGTTCCATGTGCCCCATACCTTCTAAAGCAGGAAATATTCAGTGGGCTTCTACTCGCATTTTCGGTTTGTCGATGGAGACCCTTGGTGTGATCCTGTTCCCTTTCCCAGTCTTTCAAAAATCACTTTTGTACAACCTGTGGTGAATCCAACTTACTGCAGTAACTCCCGAAAATGACAAAATTTGTAAGAAGATGCAATGTTTAGTTCTTTATTCTTTGCACTTTGCGCAGCTTCTGCTTTTAAAGTGCAGAATAATGCCAACAATATCAGTTTTCGCTATCCGGTTGTGTATAAACAAATTTATTCCTCTACTGAGTTCGAATGGCATTGCACCCTCTTGTTACCACTTGACTTTCTTCATTATATAAACATCTTAAGTAAATACAGATCAATAAGACATCAAAAAGAATTATTTTAGTTCATTATTAAGTTCTATCTGTGCAGGACTGCATGTGGATGTCTAAGATAACCTTAAGGAAATTACTAGTGCTGTGGAGAGGGGTGTCAGGGGGGTCACTGAACCGGGTGCCCTTGGCTATAGGGGCCCATAAATAATAACTCAATTTAAAGGATTTCTAAGCAATAATCCAGCCTCTCCATTACCACAAACTGTCATTTTTAGAGAAAACGATGACAAAAGTCTTTGAATGAAGTATGGTAGAAGCAGTTTGAGTCTGACTGCCTGAGTATTAAAAATATTTTTGTTGAGAATTTCTCATCTTTGTGGGCTTGGGCTAAAGAAGTTGAAAAGCTTCTGAATGTTACCAAAAATGTGATTGCAACAAAATATGTATACATCATACCAAGATAAAATAAGGAACTTCCTTATTAAGTTCCTTATTTTATCTTGATCATACAGATTCACGCTAAGGCATACACTAAGGCATGCAACAGTGTGTCGGGTTTGATAAAACTTAGTTAACGAACTAAACGTTTTCCATTTTCGAAGACTTTTAAAAATTCTTAGAAATTTTCATTTTTATGCATTATGGTGTTAAGATATCAGTTATGCTCAAATTGTATCAAACAGCAAATAGAAGTAAGAGCCACAAGACAAGAGCCTAGATAGAAAAATTCATAGGAGGGGTGAAAAACCTGGATTTTCCAGCAAAGTTCTAACAAGTATTAATAATTTTTTCAGAAATTTTAACGTAACATGACGACATCGGAACAGAAATGAATAAATATTCTGATTTCTTCAGATATTCTTATGTTTATTTAGCTTTAAATTATTTTCAATCAAAACATAGCAATCAGATAAACATAGGCAATTTTGTTAAATTTCCGACAAGACCAGAGGAGTTTAGCTCTACAGGGGTTTTTTTGCCCCCTCTGACCCCCTTCTATCTACACTATTGCCACCAAAGCAGTTTAGCCATCATAGCAATTTTAGCAACGAAAATAGCCACAAGGGCAATTTAAGCAACCATCATTTTCAAAAATCTCTAGGGGAGCATTCCTCATACCCCTGGAAACATCTGCCTTAGGCATGCTTTACTATTTATCTTTCGTCTTGACCCGGGGCCCATGAATCCCCTCCGTGGCCCTGGGAATTACGCATTGCTTGTAACATAGAATAAAAGGGTGGTGATTATGTTAAAATTATAACACAGTTTTTGAATTGCCCTGCATTATGTCAATAAACGATATGCAGGCCCGTCGCTATAGGGGGCCTGTGTGATGTGACATCCCCTTGAAAAACGGTTCTCTTGCAAAAACCAAGAGTTATTTGCCATCAAGTGTTGCTTAGTCTAGTCAGCAAATTTCCAAACGTCGGCAAATAAAGGACGGCTTACCCACTTTTTCGGAAAATGGGACTTAGAAACCTAAAGCACAAAAGCTAGTAACGGGCCAAGCGATATCTCAATAATTATATCATGTCTAAAAATAATGGTCCAGTTATAGGCTGCTTCCGTGTCTTTCCAGCAGCAAAGTCCCTTGTTATGCTGTTGAAATAAATTTAACGGCCTTGTTTCATTGTAGAGCTAAATTTTTATTTTTACTCTCATTTTAACTCTTCTTTTCCTTCGCTTTCGATTTCACTTCTTAACAACCAACTGGTTTTGTTGTACCTTTCCTTTCTTTGGCTTTCCCTTCTTAACAACTAACTCGGTCATTGCTAATTTTTCTTTAAGAATACTCCGGCGATATGCGCAATCTGAGAAATGCATTTTCTCTACCAGTAAAAGACAGCAACAACCTAGAGGCAGCATTCAGCTGATGTGTTGCCAATCAAATTGAGCGAATGTAGAATGCACATTTTTTAATTTCATTAATTTTTGCCTGCACCCCAGTATTTTTAAGTAAATATTAGAAATATTGTGATATGAGTATCTTGAAGTGATGAATAAATGTTACAGTGGCTGCAAAAGGGCCTGAATTAAAATACATTTGTCCAAAAATCTGATTTCGTTTATATGCCATAAATCCATTTTGAAAAAATCTGGCCATGCCAAAAAATGCTAACTTTTCTGATGCTATGGGCACAGTGGCCAGTGTGACATGCGGCTAATGAATGCATGCTTGCGTTAAATTTGAATCTTTTTCAAGTATCGCTGAAATTGACAGTTCCGATTTAAAGGTCCTGTTCCCATTCCTCCTTTTTGTTTTCGAAGTTTCTGATTGTCAACTTTTTCTTTCTCATAAAAAACTGATCTTTTTAGACACAAATGAGTTTCTACAAAGATTTAGATGCATCTATTACTGTTAAATGGAGAAAAAAAGTTGATATTTTCGCTTTTGATCATAAAATGCTAACTTTAAATAAACAAAAGTTTTCCTTAAGCAAGTATAAGTTTCCTCGGCATTTTATTCAATTGACCATTTGCTCTAACCACACTCCCAATTACTTTAACCGAAAAGTTAATATGATGGTAAAAGATGCCAAATTGCAATATTTGAGAAGTATGGTGTCATATTCTTGAGAATAGTTTTTAGATAGAATGTAATTCTTGAAGATTTTAAATTTTGCAGCTCAGTTTTGTATAATCAAACATGCAATATTACATAGTTAATGGCATCACAATATAATTCTTTGACTCTGCATGTCGATTTTTTGCTAAAAAATTCTCAGGCCCTTTCTTTTGCAACCTTCTTTCATCATGTGAAACGTGTGTTACGCTGACACTGTGGTCCACAATCCATTATATTCCTTACCACAGGGTCTTTTTGCTTTTCATGTTTCCCAGAAGAAATTTATGCGATATGCGCTGTCAGTGTGTGCTTCATTTTGGCCTCCTTATTTCTTTGACCTCGATTTAAACACACATTGATCACGTTTTTCAAGGTTTTGACTGGTAGTTGCAAGTCACATGACAAAATAATTAGTTGTTACGCTTGGCTACTTGCTTTCTTGATATATTTAGGTCGAGATTTTCTATTTGTCAATAGGTCAATGCAATGGTTTATCAGCTGCCAAAATTTCATGTTATGAAATTTCTTAATCGCAACACAGATAGCTAATGCTTAGAATTTTCCCTTCGTTCTAGAAGTGTTCAAAATCCTCTGAAAAAGACCTTCTTGCCTCTACATTTTCCAGGATATCAATCCAAGTTTAATCCTCTTCATTGATAGATTAATTTGTTCAGGGAGAGCTCTGAGAGTTGCTTCATCACTGGTTTAACCATGTTTGTTTAATATTTCTCTTGCTATTTCACTGACTTGTATTTTAAGGTATATTAGAAAACTGTCTTATACACGACAAAAAGATCGTTGAATACGAGTTGCGCTATCTGGTAAAATCTTCAACAAAACAGTAGGTTTGTAGCTACCGTTTTGGTATTGATCTCGTAAATTCAATAAAACGATGCTTTTACGTTTACACAAATGCTCCAGATAAAAATCAGAAATGCAAGCAAGTTTTTCCAGCAGCATGCGGTCTCGTCCTTACATTTGTTTTTTTACTTCTCAAGCTTTTTATTTGGAAAGACTACAACATTTTTTTCTCATGATTTAGTGCTTGAATTTTCTGTCAGAGAACTTGTTTCTACTTTTAGAAAAATTTAAATGGTTCAGCTACTATCTCTCGGGAAATGGAGGATGTTTCAGCAGAAGTGACTCAAACGAGTGAACATCGCCAGTTGCGCAAAGTGACTTCTGGCCACAGACCTAATTTTACTCTTTCAAATGAGTTTCTTTTGCACGGCTGGTGCTCTCGTGCTTGCATTTTGACTTCATTTTGCATTTTTTTAGGTCTATGAATAGTTTTAAGAACATGTTGATATATTTTTAGGCCATAGCTACAAAGGAATTTATTCAGAAGACTGTCTTAATACCCGTAATAGGGCGAATAATTGCAATAAACGAAGGTAACAGGTAGCCACTGAACTGCGTAAGTATTTAAAAATTCATCACCCTCTGGTTTTTCCACAAGTACAGAAATGATCAAAGTTGCTCTAGCTGTTTATGAAAGTTCCTTTGATTCAACTGTTTTATAGGGTTATGTTAATTAACTTATGAACGATTCGTGAAAGCAGAGCTGTTTGATAAGAACATTTGGGACTGAGATCAAGATCTGAAGTTATCTAGGCATTTTTGGTGACCTGGGCAATGGCAGAGAGCGTCAGCCGTCGATTGAATGAGTATTTACGTAACGGACAGGCTGGCGAAGGCACGGGTCAGTCTCACCAAGGATACGACAACAGCCAAGATGGAATAGCACTAGGGAGAACACCCGAATGGGACGCACAGAGGTATAGAACAAGAGACAGAAGATCAAGTGTAACGAGGTAAAATTACGAAATATTTATCCATTTGTTTATCTAAGTGAGTGAAACACAAACATCCCTGTGCGTTTCGGAGTTTAGGCAATATACGGGGTTCTCTAGACTGACTCCGAATGCTGAAAGCGGTTCAGTGTGCAGGGAGCCTAAGCTAAAAAAATAATTGTATGTTTACAATCTTGAGTGGCCTAATGCCATTCAATTCGAGCTTGAAATGATCTTTGCCGAACTCACATCGGCCGGTACCTGCTTATTGAACAGAGCGCATCGTCGAATGTTTCTTAGAATTTAAGAAAGGAAGGTCGATTGCCTTTGATTTTATAGAAGCTGATGGAGCAATCGCCAGCGTCTGTAATCAGTATCATGTTTACAGATTTGGTCAAGAGAACAGCGATTTATTTCAAGTTTCAAAACAACTATCGTCTTATTAATTATTCATTGGCCAAAAAGGCAACTTGATGTTTTACAAACCACTGAAAACCTCCAGCTCTTAGATTTCGCTCTTTCTTGCGTTTCGATGGTGTAAATTCATTATGTAGGCTTAAGGCAGTTCTGTTTACAACCAGCAACTGAAATTTCTTGCTTTATCAACTTATTAAACGTTTTCGAAAAGTTTCTTAACTTAGTTAAAATGAACTTTCATAGAATCAATATTGCAAGTGTATCTAACAAACACTGGCCCCGACGTTCAAAGTTTTGTGTATTATATTTAAGACAAGAAGACCAAAAAATTAAATTTCTAGGATACCTTCTCACATCTTGATATAAACAGGGGGGCAGTGTGTCGATTGCCTTTGTTTCTCGCGGAATCTTTTTACCCTTAGCAACTCTTACTTTATATTTGTCTCATTTTATATTTGTTTGTTAATATTAAAGATGATTCAAATGGTGAGAGAAGCTTTATAATTAGGGTAAAAATTAGTTACAGTAGCTTTTAAAGTTCCTGCTTCCATCAAAGTGATTGTATCTTAATGAAAATTATCAATTCACTCTTTGATCAACAAGTTATAGATTGTAGTGTGAAGAAAGTTTTATCTCGTTGCTTTTAGCATACTGTATTGGCAACTGATGTCTACTTCAAATCATTTAAGTATGTTAGAGAGCTAAGTTCTCAAATAAGACAATTTTAACTAGCAAATATTTCAAAAGTGAAAAGGCTCAATCGAATTCTAAAACGACTTATATATTTATTCACTTATGTTTACTCATTTATGTAGCACAAAAATGCATTGCAGATGTATCTTGCCTATTTTGCTTTCTTATAAAATTCTAATTAGTTTTGCACTTTGCCACAAGTAACTTATTGCTGACATATTTTCCAGCTTTGCTGATTTGTATGAAAGAGCAGTGAAGAACTTGCTCAACATCAGGCCATTATTCGACTCTTCCTTGGAAATCTTTGGGCCAAAGGCAAATGAAACCGCTGCCCACTCACACCCTTCCATTCCAATACAAACAAGGCAATATGTTTCAGAGAGAGGCCAACTGAGAGAAACGAGGGACACAGAGAGCAAAACTAATGACAAACAAAACCAGCGGTCTGCTGAAATTGCTCATGCCCCTGGCGACTACCTGTATCGAGAGAATGAACATTCCAGCAACGGCTTTTTTGAACATGTCCTAGCAGAACATGCGCGTCATAACAGGCATACTTTCCCTTATCTACCGCAAAGGCGTGGCCTTGTAGTTAAGCAAAATGATACTACAACTCAGGTTAACAATAGATGTGAAACGAACAGCGTTGCATACAAGAGTGCTGGACAGAACAACCGTCAGAAAGAAAATTTCGAACAGCAGTTTCATTGGCAACATAATAATGAACAACGCCATCGACCAAGTATGTTTGACGATCTTAGATACCATGCTCGCTTGGTGCTGTCCGCTGAGGTAAATGCGCGGAAATCAGACACAGAGCATGACGTTAAAATGACAGCGGAAGGAAATGGCCTCGTAAGTAATATTAAAGTGGAAGAAAGCAATACTGAAAACGAGGTTAGCTCGGCTACTGACACAAAAATGACTGAAAAAGAACAAATGGATTTGATTAGAGAGCGGATAATAAAAGAAAATCAAAAGTTAAAGTATAGACCTTACAGTTTACGGAGTAAAAGAAATGATATAAAGAAGAACAATAAAAGGTTAAAAAAGAAAAAGATAAAAAAGAAAAGTCCTGTTAAGAATTTTTGGAAACCTACTACTCCACAAGAACTGTTTCTTGCACAGTTTGGTTTAATGAAGAAAATGCTGGAGACACCTAAACAAACGGAGAAAAATGGAAGATCAGCAATATGATATGTTTCGTGCATAAGTTGCAGTACTTGGAAAGAAGGTGGCATTATGACACTTTGAAGCAAGTACCAAGGTCCATTTTTATCTACGCAATGGTAGTGGTTCAGTGTTGAATGTTAAAACAGTTTTAATACCTTTTTTTGAATCAAGTAAATGATATCCTCTAAGTTTCAAATCACTACAATGATTGTTTTTAGACTACTAGTTCTGTACATTCGTCAATTATCAAACGTGAAATGAGTTTTCTATCAAGCCTCGTCGGCATTTAGCTGAATTTGCTTCAATTTTAACAAGTTGACGTCAAAATGCCGAGCTAAACTTATTATCAGCTGGGATCAGCAATACCAGGTACCCGGTACCCATAGGCTAGGCCCTGTTACTTACGATTATTCATAGGTTGATTTTGGTCCGACTAAATCTAAAAAGTGGTCTTAACACATATCCCTTTCTTTACAATGGCTGCTAGGAAAACGTGTAATTATTTTTGAGAAAAAAGCAGCAGAGTGTAGGGAATAGTTAGGATGGTGCTTACAAACGTTAGGCTCTCAGACGATAAATTTTCCCACCTAACGACGTACGCAAAATTTGACCTATTTTGAGTTGTTGTATTTATTTCATTTGACGAGGAAATTCTCCCAAAATGGCCAAAGTCCAAGATAAAATGCTTCTACCTACAACTAAAGAGAGCGATTATCATTCATTCACCAAAAAAAATTTTTTTATGTTTTCTGAATTTTGCAAACTTAGATAAATACTCATGCTTATTGTGTTATTAATTGAGATTTTCAAATTAGTTACCTTGACAATTTATAGTTATGATTTCCCTGCGATTAATGCTTTATCCCCTTGTTCATCTAGCCTCCAAAATGTGGCTTTTTGCTAGAAAAAGAACCAGGGGCAGAGAGGAATTTAGGTGTTTCACTAAATTGTAATATTTCCTAGGAAGCTCCATCGGTTTCTCTAGGCGTTTTAAGAAGATTCAATGACAGCATTTACATGTAAAACTTTGAGAGAAAAAAGGGTTAATTCTGCCATTTCTAATTTGAAAGTAGCAGCAAAAATTGTGCTCTTAGTTTTGTCTGCAAATAACAATCAGAATGCTTGACCTCTCAAAAAAATACATTAGTTTTTGTGGTTCAAATTTTTGATACAGAGTAAATTTGTTAATCTTTTGATGCACTACGAAGCATATAAGGCGTGATCGATAAGAATTCGATTTGTCTGTAACTGTTGCTAGATAAAACTTGTTTCTTTAATGCTTTCGCCGCTGTATCTTGTGAGCCTTGTACCTTGTGGGCCTTGGACAAAATTTGACGGCCCCCTACCCTTAGAAAAAAACCCGATTCCCTTGCATATTATATATCCGCTTAGTGTGGAGCTAACGCAGTTCTGTCGATTGCATGCCAACAATTAATGGGTCAGGCTTCTCTAAATAACACAAGAGTACAGACTTTTATAAAATATGTTACTGTAATATATAAATGCTATTCATGTGAGGCTCAAGATTTTAGTTTTCAAGTAGAAAAAGCTTTATTCAGGTTCTAGACAATACTTGTCTTGATAACAAAATAATTTGAAACATATTGTTAAGGATCTGATTTAAGCATTAGACTTAGATAATCTAAGTTCAAGATCTCCATGGCATCATAAGCTATATTTCTTACGACCTTAAAAAGGCAAAAAACTTCCGCTATCTAACATAAAAGATATGTAGTAAGATCTCAAGCTCAGAGAAGCAACAAAACACGAGCCTCCTGTGTCTTTAAAGAATGAAAATGAGCCTCAACAACCAGCAGCAGCCTTAACAAATTCCAAGGCAGTCCCTTTCATGAGGGGGGGGGGGGCTACTTCGAAATTGTTGGTTTCAACTTAGAAATGTCAAAGGTCGATTGGTTTCATTTACTAGTTTATCACCAACAAAAATAGATTGTCGGGAAGAAATTCCTACTTTCAATGGCCGCTTCCCAGGCCAAAAATTTCAAATACCTTTGGCTAGACCTTGGCTTGATCAAAGTTGCAAAAGAGTATAGCCTTGGCTAGAAAAAGGTTCTAAAAAGGATACCCTTGCTCACGGCACACCCACAGAGACCTTTACTATTGAAAAATCCCAACACCCTGTAGTCCCTTTTTAAAACTTGGGCATTTTTAAAGTTTAGTAAAAAAGTACTGCTTCCACTAGAGTGTTTTACTTACAAGACACATTTTAGGGGGACAAGAGCTGGAGCGGTCATAACAAGAAAATATTATAGAATAACTAGCATCTTGAAATTAAAAAAGCTTAGAAAGCTTAAGTTAGTTTAATAATAGGATGCGGGGCGATTCACCTATACAAAATGAGCATACACATCAACACAAGTTTGGCCGTCATTCTCGCGTTCATCTTTATTAATCAGGTCTTCGCCGTACCAAGCAAACAACTTGAAATCCTGGTTGACGTAGAGTGGATCATTCATGCGGTTGAATATGAGCTCGGATGATGCACCATCGAAGAGACTGGACGAATACCAAGGCAGTTGAACATTGCCAGGGGGGTCGCTGCCAGTGCGATTAAATAAGATCCTCTTGTGCAAGTCTGTGATAAAAATCCCAAGTGGCTTTAGCAAATCTCTATTGCAGCCCCAGAAGTTTTCATAGTGACGATAAAGCTTGTTGCAAGTGACCCTGCCATAAATATGCACCAGTTTGATACCTCCAATGAAGCCGTCGTACGGACTTTGAAATCTTCCTGGTGTTTCATATTTAGGATGTACACAAACTGGGTCTTCGTTAAGACGAGTCCAATAGTCTGAAAAATTAATTATGCCATACAAAACTTCATTTGAAAATGTAGCCAACAAAATTTTTTGGTACTGCAGGGACGCCGGAGCAAAGTTTGGAATGGGAGGGGGGAGGGGGCTCTAGCTTTTAGGTAGTTTTCTCAAATTATATTTGATGCCATTACCTGCTCAGCTCAGCTAAAAAGTGAGGGGGCGTGCCTGCACTACTATGATGCTACAGTTAATGCAAATTCCTGACTTCTAGTCGAAAATTCGATTCGTTATTTTCTAAGAAAATGTAGTTGATGTCCCTACTTTAGTCAAGGAGAATCAATTTGGCAATCCATTTCGAAACGGGAATGCAAGGATTATCCTAAAAATCATCAAGAAGCATTAAGCCACCAGGCTTCAAAGAAATATCTGCTTATTTTTCTGTAATCTTAATTGAAAACCCCCTAGTAACCACCCCGGAAGAAATTTTCAAATCAAAATTTTCGGGGATAAGAAAAATCGCAAATTGCCGAAAATTGATAACATAAGTTTTCGATGCAGTCACAAAAATATTTATGGGAAAACAAAACAAAAAGGCTGGGAAAGTTTAAATCAAACCTGGCGGTAGCGGGAAAAAATTTTAGCGAGGTCATTACAAAGGCAAGTTAAGTACTAACACTTAGAGGTTTCTTCGACCCCACCTTCCATTAAAGGAAATGACTTTAAAGACATACCAGGTTTAGCAGCTGCCATTCCAGTCCTCATTGCTTTTATTCGGTTATTGGCTGCAATACAGTGAGCATTGCTGACAGATTCAACGACTGATATATGTAGCAATACAGAGATGTGCAGCAATAGAAACCAGACGCAATAAGTCCACCCCGTGATCCTGAAAACGCAGCGATACATAGCATTACGACAGTCAATAATAATCTTTTTAAAAATGAATAAAGGAGGGGGGGGGGTAGCGTTGCAATAGGAGAATAAACTATGAGCAGGTAGTCAGACTTTAAGAAATGTTTATAATCTGAATAGCGATGGGACGAGAAATCGACAAACGTTCATCTTTGCAGACAGCCACGTAGTTGCAGGGGGCATGGGGGCCAGTGCCCCTCCAAATGAAAATTTTGATAAAAACTTTCCTCCTTTGGCTACAGTTACTCCAAATAATCATTCGACATAATTATAATTTTGCAAGACAATTGCTTTTTAAAGAGCTCCTTAGATTTATACACTTGACTACTTGCAAAGTTGTTAAAGTTTCAAAATATTTGATATTCAAATTGTGACGATTACAGCTGGGGAGCAAAAGAATAGAGAGAAGTGGCCTAGCTTCCTGTTTACATAGTCACTATCTAGCTATCTAAAAGAACCATGCTATCTAGGGTTGTAGCTCTAGCCCCTTTGGAAAGAGAGCTCCCAATTATGGCCTCTTTGGAAAAAGAAAAAGTCAGTCGAATTTTGAAGCAGTGCTTGTGCTTCTGTGTGCAGATTGATGGCAGCGCTGACAAACAGAAAGATGATTCCAAATTCATAAACGCAAGGTTTGTACCAGCAGAGGAAGAAGGTGTGAAGACAGTGTATTTTGGTATCGCAAGCAGTGAGCTTGGTGGTGCAGATTGTCTTTTTGACTTTGGTACAGTGTATGGATGATCTTCGTCATGGTACAGAAATATTGGTTAAGATGACAATAGATGGAGAGGCTGCAAATACTGTTAAAAAGAAAGGACTGTAGGAACGCCCTCTTTGTTTCGCCCGTCTCCTCGAAAAACAAGGCTACTACTTAGAGAGAATGATAAGTGTCATGCATTTTCCATGAACTTTGAAGACTGATTTGCAGAGCATACCCTGAATGTCCTAAAAGCAGTTCTTCACAACCTAGCAGCAGCAGAAAGCGTCTGGCCAAAGAAGTGCGATGAAACAAATCCAACAGAAAAAACTAAAAAAAGGTGGCTCAAGAATTTCTTAGAAAATGGGGAAAAATTCACAGCAGGTTTTACACGCATATTATGATATTTGCACTATCTTCAAAATATTGCAGTCAAAAGTCAAATTGGATATTCCCAGACATAATCAATAGAAAAGATGGTGCTGTTGAAAATGTGAAAATAATGAAAGATTTTCCTGTTCTTGGAGGGAAAGAAGAAGAGTACCAAGAAGAATGAAGAGCTGCCTAAAATGTTGATCAGGCTAATATTCGCCAAACTGCACGCGCCAATAGATTTATGTCACCCAAAAGTCATGACAAAGGTGCAATGAGAGAAGAAAAAGTGCAATCTTGAACATAGAATGAAAGTGGAAGAAGATGATACAATCAGTAATTTGACTGCAATTTTAAAAGTAAACTCTCCCAAAGAGTTCATGGAATCTAGAAGGACCTTGCTTCCCAAATCTTAGAAGAAAATCAAATTAGCCTGTTTACATGTGATGTCTGTCAATCTTGGAGCAATTTAAAGCAAATCAACCACATTGCCGTCAGTTATGCTGGATCAAGCTATGCCCTCAAGCTCAGGAAGATGACACAGGCAGGTTCCGGCCTCCTGAAAGTGTTTCTTGCTTGCCCGATAAAACCTGTGAAACTACCAAGTTCCAGATGTCGTTTATACCATAACGTTCTAGCTAATTCTGCATAGAATTTTCCGGTTCACAGTCAATCTATTTGATTCTCAGTAAATGGAAATTTTTGGAGTAATGTAGTTGATATCTTCAAATGCTCTCTAGCAACTTAAAAATAACTGATGATCCACTTGAATGACTTTTCCAAGAATCTGAAAAATGTCTATTTACATTTGAAAAGTGTTAATATATTTTCGATATTGATCACAATATTTGTTTGCGTTCAAGACTCTTTTAAAGATGAAGCAAACGGAGATATATAATATGATGTCGACAGGCAGTTGTGAAAATCAATCTGAAATTGGTTAATTCTAAATTGAGAGAATACTTCTTGCAAATTGCCCGGAACAACTGAATAGAAATTGAATGAAACTTTTATGCGCGAAATTAGAATTTACACACCTCAACATTGCGTTCAAATTGTTTGAGCTTCCACTATTAAACGTATGTCATCAAGCAAGAATATTGGTAATCTTTTGGCCTACGCAAGTAGCAAGGCCTAAACACTGGTCAGCTGCCTCAGCGGTTCTGCCCAAGGTTAATCTCCACAAGCCACAGGAGAAAATTGAGTCCACTGTGTTCACCGCGACTTTGAAATACACCTAACAACATGGTCATGCTGCTAAAGAACAGGCTATGAATAAATAAAACTTGTTCTTGCATTCAGAATTCAGTGAAGAAGAAATCACTTTATTTCAATCAACGTTGCAATCGGCAAAGGAAGTTGACAAGTAAAAGTTTATTGTGAAGCAAAATGGCACGCTTCAACAAAGCAAGTTACAAGAACAAGTGAAAGAATGGCCTCCCAGGCTAAAGCCAACGGGCAACAAGAGAGAAACGCTAAAAAATGAACATCTGCAATTTAAAAATGGCCTGATCATCGCATATCACAAAAAGATAGTCGCCGAAGAACCTATTGGTAACAGCCTAGAACAGTAACACGAACTGAATATTCAACTAAAATTGAGATAGAGCTTGATTAAGTAAAGTTCAATCACTTTTGATATTTGACAGGGTACGCCTTTTTGGTGCCCCTTGGGTTTTGTTTTGGCACAGATAGCATGATTGTAGAGTTTGTGTTCATTTTAGCCGTAGGCGAGTAGGCGTTCCATTGTGTCTTTATACAGCCAAATCAACAAGCGTGCAAATGTGTATAAACTTTATGTTGGCATAGTTTTTTCTTCACATAATACAAGACAACCTGAAGTTGGGCTGTGGAGAGTAAAGGTTTTTCTTGCGACCCTGCATGCCCAACCCATGTCAAAGTATTTTCAGATTTCTAGATGCTTGTTAACTTTTTACCTCTTTTCTTCGTGCAGTAGTTAATGGCCGAATGGCTTGCGACTTTTGCATGAACAAGGTAACGTTTCTTATTCGGCGGAAGATGGCCATTGTTTTTTCTTCTTAACCCCCTAAAAACGGTTTAGGTTTTATTTATGGCCGTCTCTGCAATTGACGCACCGACAGCCCAAAATAAACGATTGACGCACCTACGGTCCAAATTATTTGCTAAAATGTCATCCAAATTTTCGCTTTATCTGTCAACAGATTGGACGATTTCATCCTCTCTAACTGGTCCAAATATTTTTTTCTCTTTTTTCCTATAAAATCTTGGTTATTTTCTTAATACAACAAAAAGGTCTCGAATAACGTCCACTTTTCCGATGTTTTCTCATAACAAGATGATGTTTGTTGGCACTTAAAGCCTTGTACAAACTATGTTTTGTTTATATTGATCTTCCGGGAGGGCGTGATTGCAAAAACTCTGCTCTTCCAATTCCATTCATTTCATAAAATGAGAGGTAATGTAAAAGGTTGTATATTGTCTAAAGTTTTTGGAAAGACATTTGATAATTTTACAGTGCTTGAAAGATTCATTGGGCTCGTTGTGAAGAGCATTCTTCTCTTCTTTCGAAAGGGTGCCATGTCAGTTCGTATAAGATATAATCATGATACTCCTTCAGTGACAAAAATAGTATCTAAATAAATAAAAGTATTTACATGCAAAAAACAAAGCAAATATAAAAACTGGCTTACTAGCAGGTCATGTTTGGGGATAAATTATTTCCATATTGATTTTCCATTATTGGCCCAAGAGGTAGGTTTTCATTCTTTGTTTGAAAAGGCGAGTAAATTCCATATTTATTATGTCGTTTGGGATATCATTCCAGACTTTTGCACAGACGTACGAAACGTGGTGTCGGTATTTGCAGATCTTTGATTCTACGAGTTTCATATTTTGAGATTTGATTCTCCTCGTACCTTTATGGCTTGGTCAAATGTGATCAATTTAAACCTTCTCAACGTTTAGTAGTGCGGATGGTTTTGTGGATCATTTTGTTTTTGTGGAAATTTAGTATTTTCTTTACAAAAGTGACTTGCCACTTAATAATACGATAAATATTAATTAATTTGGTTCGTTTCACTTCTCCTTTTTACCCATAGCACAAGTTTGAGATGTTTCCGACATAACAACGATTTTTCCGAAAATCTGTCAAATTTTGAAAACAGAGGGGGCCATGCCCACTGCGCCCTCCCTCCACGCTTCTAATGCTATGTGAAATTTTTCAAAATGACTTAATCTTCAACATATAGCAGTGTCAGATATGCTGACTCTCATCAGATCTATTATTCCAGGGAGAACAGTGAGGATGTTGAGGTACAATGGAATCGAGATTTTAGGATGGTTTCACAACAGTACAAGGACAATCGTCTGAAAGCAAAACAGGGAAAGCACCGAGTAATGGTACTTCGAAATTGCATGAAAAGCAATATAAAGATTAAACTTATTTGCTGATGAAAACAATGAAGCAGAACCAACAAGATGTCTCAAGCTACCTGGAGTTGAACTTGATGATGTGCTAAAGTTTACCACTCATATCAGCAATTTGTGCAAGAAAGTGAGCCAGAGACTAGATGTCTTATCAAGATTTCGTAACATAGTTCCCACCAAGGAAAATTAACAATTTACAAGTCAGCAACTTTTCTCATTTGACCTACTGCAGTTCAGTCTGGTACTTCTGCAAAGTAGCAAGTAAAAGGAAGATAGAGAGACTCCAAGAGAAAGCCCTAGAGTTGTATATCTCCAGAACAGATGACTGCAGGAAGATAATGACAAAGTATACTTAGGCTTCTCAATGAAGTTTACTTTAGCATTGGACAGAGTATATGTAAACAAACATACTCAAATTTCGTGAACTTACTCAAGCTCTGCAAAGAACCATACTAAAGCTTGATGAAATAGTAAAAGTATACGTAAAGAAACATACTTCAGCTTCACGAGGAAGTATTTTTTAGCTTTGCTTAGGAGCACACCTGAGCTTTCTGATAAAATAGTCTTAAGCTTGACAAAGAAGAAAGGCGCATTTAACAAAGCAAGCTAGATGCAGGTTAACTGTTTGAAAAATTCAGTTCAAAACAATTTAATCAGAAATACAATGTTGAATCTTTTATTGAGAACAATATATCTGATTTTACATGAATCTTTTGAAACATCATATTACAAATTTTAGAAACTATAAAATTCATAGAAACAAAAATGAATTTGGTTCTCTAAATCACTTTCAACTTTGAAACAAACTTATGTTTATACAAATTTTTTTTCAAAATTGCTAGCAAAAAAATAGAATATCTTCGAATTTCTTAGAATTTAATTCTTGATTTGCTTTTTTCAAAATCTAAGTCAGAATCTAGAATTGGGGGGGAACAATTCTAAATCCTGAAATGTAAAATCTCTTGTCAGGTCCTTAACTGCCTTTTTGTAAAGGTCCATTTTCATTGTTCGAAGTGTAGATCGATCAAAAGCTTCTTTGTCCACCAACCCTTCAGCTAACAACACTGCATTGTCACATAAATCGTTTTCTTTGTGAAGGCTGTGTACCAGCTGATGCCTAAGGGCTTCTGGGCCGGTATATCTTTTCCCAAAGACCAAGAAGTCGATTAGGGATCGTTTTTGAGTCACCTTGGCTGCAAGGAGATCACATACTCCAGGTGGAAAACGCAATTTAAGCCTCACTTCATTTAGACATAGCCAACCACGGTCTTCTCTCATTAAACGGTAATCATGAGCCATGGCCAGAAGGCCTCCAGCTGCAAACGCATGTCCTACAACATGAATACATAGGTAAAACAAACAGTAAATCTATCAGGGGCGAACATACTACAGCCTATTTAAAGGCAGTGTATCGTCTCCATGACTGGCTAATACTAACTGAAAAGCATCGCCTTAAATGAGGGTCTTCCTCTGCCATTTTTGCATCCGAATTTAGTTATTGTGGGTGAACAAAAAATGCCTAATCTTTATATCATCTAAACTGAGTTAGATGTTTGACACCAAACAAAGCTTACTTCAACACCTTCAGAGAGAGTATATTAAGGTGGTTTTTCATTATAATGGATTATTTGTGCATTCATTCAACCAACATGAATATCTTGGTTATTAAGAGAAATTTTGAGAACAATGGAGGGCAGACTGTTTTTAAGATAGGCTAACAGCCAGGGCACATGCTCTCACAATAAAATTAAGATAGCAGCATTTACTTAATTTAAGAGTTTGATAGATCACATACTGTCCTAAATGTAAGCATATATTTACTTAAGTCATCTGGATTCAAAGATTTTGCTACATGATCATTTACAAATCCCCAAACCATGCCTGAAAATCAACAAGGGGGAAAGTTGCAATGTGTACATTTTATGTGACCTCAAAAATGAAAGTAAACTGAAGGAAAAGTGCCAAAATATCATAATGATGAATGCTGGCAAAGGTATTTCATGATAGCAAGCCATTGCTCATTCATCCCAATTATGATAAGTTAACAACTATCAAGTGCAACACAAATGTGACCAAAGCTTGACATTTGATTCAAGTATCTGATTTTTTTCTGATTCAGTCCATATTTCTGGGATAGGCAATGTATATTCATGCAAAAGAACAGTGGTGCAAATTCAATTATATAAAATGGTGTCAAGAGAAAAATGGTACCATTTGTCCCAATAATAAGTGTTGAAAGAAAATTTTTTGCAATGCAAAACTGATACTTGTCAATACGATCAGAATAAGGACTATCAAAAGAAACAATTTAGCTCCAACTATTCAGACAAAGGAAACTAAAAGATTTGAAAAAGGGAATTCTTCCAGAATTCATTCAGACTCAAAATAAAAATTTTCAAAAATATTGAGTTGAGGCTTGACAAAATTTATAGCATTGTTACAAAATACTTAGTGCAATGGTGGTACTGCAAATAGCCTATGAAAAGCTTTATCATTCATCACTACAAAGCCATGCGATTTTTGGTTGGCAAGTGATTTATTATCTGGGTCGTCAATATCAAGGTACCAAAAACCCATGAGATCATCCTGGACAATTAATTCGGGCTGATACCTTTTCCTGGAAAAGCTGTACTTGCAGGCCTGATAGCTGAGAACTGGTATTTGCATGCGATGTATATGGCCAAAATGACAGTGCACACACACGAGAACTGTCATACTCTGCCAGATGGGGTAAAAGGCTGATAAGCAAGCAGTTTTATAATTTTATATTGAAAATTAAATATTTTTGAAAATTTAATCACTGCAAAAATTTATTGCTGCACAATTTCCTTCTATCAGTGCAGAAACTGGTCATCACTGCACCTTAGATATTGCCTGCTTGCCAGTCTGCAGGCTTGTCTAATGCACACAAAAACATTGGCCGGACAGAAAAACATAGGGATGCATACACATTTTTCTGGGTACTGGAAATTTTTTCAATACACCAAGTATTGAATGAAATATGAGGCACAACTTTTCAGGGTTGCTCAATGAAATCTGAAAGCTTTATGAGGTAAAATGAAGGGGGGTCGGGGGTACTCCCCAGGAAAATTTTTAAGGGCCACACCCTATAGATTACCGCAGAATGGCACTGGAGTCATATCATATCTCAGTATTTCTATTGATATTTTGAAATGAGCTCTGCTTGCCCTAAAGCCTAGAGAACTAGCATATTCCAATTCTCTGAGAAACTACAGTGTTAGGTTCATTGTCAATTTCCTGTTAAGAAGAAGCATTACTAACAAGGGGCATGAAAAGGTCTGAATCAAAGAAAGTAAGATTATTTGGGAAACTACAGTATCTGACTTGTGTTCAAGCATGATTATAGGGTCAAGAATTTATTCTGTAAGATCGATCATTGTGTGGACTGAATTAAAATTAAAATCAACTGACTGGGTGAGCTTTTGGGGGGTTACATTCAAATCCAACACCCCACCTAGAAGTTTGGCTAGTACAAGGGAGGGGGTCAAAATAATTGAAATTTAATCATTCAAAATGTATGACTGACCCAATGCTAAATTATAATCTGAAGTCAAAATTGTGTGGAATGCTTTAAAGCGCTTTTGCAGGAATTAAGTGCTGTGCACACATTGTGAGACAAATTGACAATTACTTTGCCCATTAGAAGCTCGCGGCACGCATCGGACCAAAATTGAATAGTGTGCACATATTGCACACTTTGTTAGCACTCTTGCACACATTTGCACACATGCACACATTTATATTTGCTCTTGCACACACAACATCTTGTCGAAAACTGCCATGCTCTGCAGACTGGCCTACTCTTGAACCTCTATGTCTGATACTTTTTAAATGCAGTATTCATTTCATATCATATCTCACCATTTATTGCAGCAATTGTTGGAACTGGGAATGTCACAAAACGAGCTAATAGCTTTGAGTAATCCTTCATAAATTCTGAAGCCTTTTCTCTGCTAATATTAAGCACAAAAGGTAGATCAAGGCCATTAGAATAAAATTTGCCACGTCCGGTCGTAATGAGAGCATCAACCTCGCTATTATTTTCCACCACGTCTAAGGCGCTGTTAAGATCCTTTATGAAATCAATATTAAATCTATTTTCCCCGCTAATCATTTCTAACACTGCACATCTTCGAACAAGTGATATTTGGACAAGAGAACTAGCAACTTTCATGCTGGCCATGTTGGTTACGTCATGAAGCGATAAGCGCCTCGGTAACCTGTGTTAGAATTTAACACGAGGCTGGCAGAGCGTAATGGCGGCAGCAGTCAAGTGCGTTCAGCGAGCCCTTGGTACAAAACTTGTTCGTTGCACTGCAAGGCTTCATCAAAGATCAAATCTAGCATGTACGTATGTTCTTGGCTCGATCAGCATTGAGTATTTGTTATAAAAATGTTTCTTTAAGGTCTACGTCAACTGTCTGCACTGTCAACCAACAAATTTCTGTTATTTACGAATTTTTCTTAAGAAACTAGGAGATCCCGAGATTGATTTGATTTAATAAACAATGTACCTGAGACACTTTGTGCTGGGCCATGACGAAAGTTAATGACGAAAATTACCGAATGTGAGTTTAGGGCTGGAAAATGTCAGGCAGTGGCGCTGCCAGGAAATTTTTAGCACAAATTCGTTGTACGAAATTGTTGCTGTTTGCCAGGAAATTTTAAGCGTGAAATCTCCATTGCTTGATTTTAATATGAACATTAAATTCATGTTACACTCTTTCTCAGGCTTGGCCGTTTGTTAATTGGTTTTATTTTGTAACAGCGTTTCTCCCTTCATTGCATTTTTGCAATTAACTTTTTGCTTGTTCGGCGGTTTTTGTGATGATAGGCATAAACTTCGATCTATTTGGAAAAGAATAGTTAAGCGAAAGGTACGTTAATAGCAATTAGAACCTTTCAATCTTAAGAAAACAGGCATATTTTTTGTAAGAAAAGTCGAAGAAATTAGTAGGAATTGTAGATCTCTCAAAGAGAATAGGGTACTCTGTCTTGCAGATCAAAAACGACAACCAAAACATGGAATTCTACTATCCAGCAGCATTTACTGAAAAACCTAGATTGGGTGAAAAACTATAACAGCGACATGTTTTGCATTATTGGCAAAGCCTGATCATCGTTCTATCTAGCAGTTTGTGAATTCATCTACTATATAAACATGACCGACCGCTTCTGTGTAGACAGAAGAAGTTTGTTTTCACCTTAGGACTCCCTTGGTAACATTTTCAATAGGAGAACGGCACTGATTGGACAACCTCAAAAGTCATGTGCTCGCGTTTTCTGATTGGCCTATTTCGATCCAAAACTGGGTATTTACATTTCCTAGCATAGGGTTTCCATCTATGTTCAGATGTTTTATACTCTGAAGAGTGCTAGACGAATAACTTTGGTTTGTTTCAAAATTTGTTTTTCAAAGCTATTTTCAAATTCTGTATAACAAAAAGATTGTTTGGCAAGAAAATTGTTATTTTTGTTTGTGCCAGCTTTACATGAAACTGAAAGAGTCATGCCTAAAGCAAATACAAATTGAAAGAAAGAAACAGCATACTCCTTGACTTCAAGACAGTTTAAAGGCAACCGATAGATACTAAAGGGGAATAAGCCATCTGTCGAGTGTCTTTAAAGTATGTTCTATGTGTTACTGATTTAGCTCGCCTCAGCTAATGAGTTGAGCGATTCACAGCTCACCTACAAATATACAAATTGCCAGGCCTGGAATTTCATCTTGTACCATATGCTTCACAGTTAATGTAAATTTGTAGTGTTACAAGACTGACACAAGAAGGTGTAGTGTTGACATCACTGTATTGATAATGAAGTTTATTACATTGATTTGATATCTACTAGTGATTATCATGAGTTGAAGCTGTAGGTTTGGTCAACTTGAGCTTTTGCATTTTGGCTAAAAGCTTACAGTTTTCCTCATTTGTTTTAACATAAAAAAGTTAAATTCTTCGGGTTTGGTTAAATTCCAATATTGTTTCCCAGACTAATTTTTTAAGTTATGATGTGGGATTTCCAGGAAGAAAGCATGCTGAAAAAAATATCCTGAAATGTTTCAGAGTGACTCACAAACAAGTTTTAATTAAAGTTTGTGCTGGATTTTGTCTGCTGGCTGGCTTTTACATAGCATCATTCCAGTAATCATAAATTGTGCCCATGAGATTTGAGCAATTAATTAAAGAGACAGGGCAATGGAGTGCTATGAGTTGATCATACTTATAGATTTTTGGAGTTTTAGAGGTGTAAAATGATTGTAGTTGGCCTGAGATTTTATTATGTTACTAATTTATTTATTTGCCCAATAAACCACCCTATGGTAGCTGAAAATTTATTTTTGTTGTTCAGGAAACCAAGTTAATGCCTAGATTTCTTTCAAAGTCATTGGTTCAATGTTGTAAAAGAAGTGTACTCATGCTTTAGCAAATGAAACATTTCTCTTTTGATTCAAGTATTTTTAAAATGTAAGAATTTACCTCAAAGTATTTGCCATAATCAAAAGATTTCTTCCAAATCATTTATTAGTGTATTAATTATTTTAAACTGGTATTTAAAATGTAATCTTTTTGCCTCTTTAGGTTTTTGCACTACGGCAGATGTCAAGGGAAGCAAATATTTAAGTGGCTTTGATAAAATACAAGAGCTGCAAAAGTATGCGTTGATTTTATTTTTCATTTTCTGAAATTTTATGTAATACGTTCATTACATACATTCATTACACGAAAATCTGCATAATTTGTTGTATCTACAGGCCAGTTCCTTGACTTTCGTGCTTGGAAAACGTAAAATGTATCAATGATTTGAGAAAGTTTGGAAGAATTTGAGAAAAAAATCCATCCTTCTTTTGTATTCTTAAGCTTTTATGTATTTATGTTAGGGGCTCAAAGCTAGGGGAATGAGTTTGGAAATACTTTATACTGAGGATAACACTTGTACTTGTTAGAAGAAATGTATTCCTTAACAGAACAAACTATTTTAATGTGCTTCCACACTTTAGTTTTCCTCTTTCTGGTACAGTCTCTACCGTTCTTATTATCAGTATTTGACTATCCTTGATGTAAAAACCATTGGATAAAGCTGTGACAAATTCGAATGGAGTTTCAAGCATATAATTTGCCTCTTTTTTTGGGTTATTACTATTTTATTATTTAATTCTACTATCATTATTATTATTATTACTTATACTTTACTTAGTGCAAATCAAATGGTTCAAAGAATTTTCAGTTTGGAGATGGCAAACGAGGTGAGCTTTTAATCTTTTAGGGGTGAAAATAAAGCCTTAAGCAAATGAAATTAGCAGATTTGGAATGAAGCCTGGAGAATCGGGAATGATCTCTTTGTGAATCGCAAATGAGAAACCAAGCAATCATGAAGGATAACATGAGCTGCATTTGAAAACGTTAAATCTAGTGTGGTAACCAACATTGATAGATAATCAGACTAAGCCATGTTTTAATTGAAGATGAAGAGAGCTCGTCTCAAAATATGGCGATTAATTTACCGAAGCCTGTTGAAGTCAAACTCGTATTAGACATGGTGTGGTCTGATCATCTATCAACGTTGATTACCACACTACATTTGCCTTGCTGGAATGCAACTCAAGCTGTTCCTCATGAACTATTTACTTTATATTGGTTCTTACAATGTTTATAAAATATTGGAACCTTGTCCTCCTTATTTTCAAATCAATCAAATGTAATTACTGGCTGTATTTGAAGATCTCCACATTGATTGATTTTCTATTTTAAAATTTTGCAAAACAATGATCAGGTTATTATACATCAATGATTTCCGTTATGCATTTTTGCATCATTTCAATTTTTTTGTGTCATTTCAAATTTTTTGTATCATTTCAAATTTTTTGTAGCGTGACAAACGTAGAGTGAAAAAGGACGAAATATTCGACACTTTCTCTGAGAATATCGAGAGACAAAGTATGAATTTTTTCAACTTCTGTTTTGATTTATGTGAAATTTATTTAATGATCTTTTTAAGGGCATGTATCATGAACATGATTGGCTAATGCAATGCAATTATATTTTTTGTTTAGTGCAAAGCATGGAAAGTCACAAAACAATGGAATTCCACTCCAAACGCTTTTGTTTTGTTAACCAACTGTTGATGCGACATATCTCCTTTAATATGTTGTCTATATTCCAAATTCAATTACGACTGCCTTCCTCAATTGTCAATCATTTGTTTAGACTTGACTTGTTCTTTCTGGTTTGACTTGTTGACTTTTTTTCTGCTTGTCAGTCAGTGATCTGGGACACAAAAAGCTTTCGTAAAAATTATATGGTGATGATATGGTCAATTTAGTATAGATCTTAGGTTTTGACAGATCCCTAAACAGTTAAGGGACATCATTGCATATAGATTTAATCCAAAATGCCCTATTATTTTACATATTTCTTTATTCTACCATGTTACTATCATGTACATAGCCTCATTTTGTCTGTCTATTGCTATAATGTATTTATCTCTTATCTGTTTATCTGTATATCTGTTCCTATAATGGATATAGCTTCATTCTGTATGTATGTTACAATAATGATAAATGTATTTAGTTGACGCTGGATTGGCTCTTACTTCAGATAGGAGTCTCAGTTACAAGACGCTGAGGCAAACCGATGCGCTTCCTTTTGCCAAATGAGAGTGAAAGACACTCTGCTTTTGCAGGTGAAGTGAAAGTCAATCCGCTTCACATTTTATCCCGTATAAACAACCCTCAAGCCAAGCTGCCTCTTTTACCTCTTACCGTATTGCTAAAAAAAGTGCACAGTTTTTTCAGATAGTAGTTTCACTTGAAATTCCGTCCAAACGGAAGGCCCTTCTTTAATATTTCTATCAATTTCATTGGACATTTTAACTAAGAGGCGTTTTCTTTTACCTTCCCTGTTTTTTATTTTGGCGCCAATGGTGTGATCTCAAGGAAGCTCCTTCGCCAAAAAACCAGAACGTAGCTATCCGGCGTTGTGTAAAATGGATGCAAAACAAAGTGAAGAGCAATCCGAAGTCGTATTAACTTTTCCAAATGCGGAGTGCAATTACTTCTGGTTTGGAGGACAATCCGAAATGAAAACCAATCCGGCGTCGTGTAACCATGCCTTAAATGCGATTTTAGATTAACAAGTATTTGTGGTTTTCTATGGCCCCATTTGCTTATTAGAATGTTCTCTGATTGCTCTAGTTGCTGAGTACACGATGAGAATAAAGCTGTTGTTAGAACACTGTCAAGCCAATAAGCAGGTACAACTATCCATACAACTATGTCTATTTCTGCTGTGGACGGCACAGAATATTGTTTTTTGTTTTATGTTCTTTAACAGTGATATATAAAAAACAACTATCCAGCTTCTCTTCTTTTATTTGCTTTATGCTTCAACGTATATTTTGCAATTGTATGTTGAGCAAGTCATGGCCGCAAATAGATTTTTTCTTCTCGGAACCTATTCATTTCTATGTAAAATCCACTTCTATGAATATGATATTGCATCAAATATTCTGCAAAGATTGAAAATAACTAATGTGATTTGCATTTTCAAATGTAGTTAATTGACAATTTCAAAGAAAATATATCCCTTGCTGTAATGACTGAAGATAAGATATTTTTTTCTAAAATTCTTGTTTTTGACATTATTTTTGCCAACTCTGAAAGTTTTCTGGGAACCCAGTTACAGGTTCCGTTCCTATTCGCAGCTCTGGTGCAAGTATAATTAAACATGGCGACAGTTTTTCATTGCTGTAATTCGAATAGGTCCAATTGGATTCTATCTGTGCAAATGAAGTTAACAATTTGAAACGTAAAAAAGGTTTATAGATAGAAATTGAACGATTGTGGTATTGATTAATTTCTGTTAAAATAATATTGTTGTTCTTCATAGGACAAAGAAAATAAAGTCTTCTTTATATGGCTTATTGACCAAAGAAAAAAGTTGCTGAAAAGACTGAGGAGAGACGACTTTGAAAAATATTTGCAAACTGTAGAACAGTTGAACATTCCTCCACTTGCTGATCCTAACGACCCAAAGAACAAGTACAAATTTAGAAAGTACAAGATAAATGTTCCGCTCAAGAAGAAAAGAGAACTGCATGAATTCGAATATGATAGGAATTACTAGCGAAGTCTTTTTACCTGTGTGAATGATCGATTTCAGGTCGTTTGTTCAGCGGGCGGCTAATCAAAGTATACATTCAAGCTTTTTTGCAGAATTCAGTGAAGTAGTTATAACTTATGTTGGCAAAGAAATGTAGCTTTTTTCCTAACACTCTACTAAATCGTATGCCAAACGAATTGCAATTGCCTGATTTTTAGAATGATTGACACCGATAGATTCCCCTATCACATGTCTTTATGTTTATAAACATCAAGATTTGCGCTTATATTGCTTATGCTTGACGTCAAATAACTCTTGCCTTCTCTCACCTAGAACAGTCACACAGTGATTCGTAATAACCCGTAGGAGTCCGGGCTTTGACATTATTCAGTATACAATTAATTGCATGCTCGTGTTGCCAGTACATGCACGTGGATGAGCGTTTCTGCTCTTCTCATTTTTTGTCACATTTTTCCAAAATTGATACATCTGGGGTGCATCCTCTTGATGTAATTGCTATGTCATGTCATTGCTGATTTGCAATACATTTGCGTGTGATTGCTGATTTGCAATACATTTTTTAAAGTGTACCTAATTGCATTGCAGTTAGATATTCCTCTATCTTTTGAAATTTTGCCTATCTTTCAGTTCATTCTCACATCATAGCAATTCTTCTTCTATTCATTCAAATTCCAAAATTTCTCCCGCTAATTAACATGGACATTTTTGCTAACAAATGCAAGTTGCTTTTATCGTCAGGAATTGGGTGAAATTTCAGTTATTTGATCAATTCGAAGATAATATTAATCTTTGTCAATATGGAAGAGCACTAGCTACCATAAGTACATTTGCAAATATCTCTGTTCAAACCTATTTTATGGATTCTCTTTTGCTTTTGGTACGTCGTAGGCAATGCAGATTTTCAAGCGAGTTTTTGCGTAAAGTAAGCATTATGCGGTGTTCTATCAGGTATTCTTTGTTTCTTTGATCAAGTTTCGTATGTATGAAGAGTTGTCTATAAACAGTTTCTTTCCACCTTTTGACTGGCTATGATTTGTATGCAGCTTTTTTTCATCATGAATTAACTTCCGGATGAAGCCCTATTTTATTTTCGCTAGCCTAGCCATTTCAAGTATCTTATTCAACTTCTAAAGAAATTATAGAAGACTTGCGAAAATCTTCAAAACTTTTGAGACAGAAATTGCTCAAAGAGGCTCATAATTCTCGAAAAGAGTCGTTAGTTTTTATTTGTTCAATTTAAACCTATTTAACATTTCTTGCAACGATAAAATTAACGTCCAACCATTTAGAGTAGACATACATTATACCCAGGTGGATGTTTATCTTGCTTGTCAATGCAATCTGTTACCGTGACTCTTTCCTATTTTTCTTGTTTCCAAGTAGTTTTCCCTTCAGTCACTATGTTTGCATGTAAACTTACAGTTCATACAAACACGTGTTCAGTACACAAAAGATTATACCTCACATCTCAAAGCACTTTACCGTCTGAAATGTCTTTCAATACGATGAAACTCAAGTAAGGATTCGAGCATATTTTCGTCGCTAATAAAATGGTTGACTGTTTCTTCCACTGTGGCCTGGTCATTTCTACTTATTGAACAAGAAACCTTTAGAAAATTTATTGAAAAAGCTATGTATCTTATCATAATTTCGAATTCTATTCCAAATGTGGTAAGCATGTTGAAATTATTCTCTTTTTAGTGATGACAAACTGCAGTGGCGAGAGACCTTTAAGTGTTTTGAAACGCCTAAAGAATTATATACGATCAAGTAAAGGTCAAACTCGATTTTGGGTAGCTCTTCTCAGCATTGAGCATGGTGTAGTCTTTCGATGGATGACATTATTTCTGACTTTCCAGCTTTAAATGCTCAAAACAGTTGATATGAGGCATGTTATGGCGCAAATTTATTGTTTGACAGTTTTGTAGTTACATTTTGTCTTCATTGTCTAAAATTGTTGCTTCAGGTTTTTGCAATGTACGTTAATCGCGTTAATGATTTGTTAGAATATTGGCAGAGGTTGGAATATTACAGTATTCCTTTATTGGCCGAAGAAGTTGGCCCTAAAATATCTAAGGCCCCCGGCCCTGGTATTCGATAATCCGCCACTGTGTAGCTTTAACGGAAAAATTGACCTAAAGAAAGTCTATTCTCTTTGTAATTTTAAAGTGGATCCCTTTTTAGTCATCAAATATGACTCGGGAAAACTAGAACAACGGCCTAAGAGAAGAAAATGAAAAGTGAAAGCAATGAAGACTTATAGCAAGTGACTAATTTGATCTTTCGAATTGCCATTTACTTTAAAACTCCGAGACTTAAATTTGTTGATGATGCCGAACTCGCAGTTCAGATAATTTTTTTGTACAGCAATCTTAATGCGTCTTTGCTGTCAGCTAAAGCAAAATAAACGAGGAAATCATTGTGATGTCCGTTTGCTCTAAATTGAGTAGCAAATTGCACAGAGCTGGCCTCAAGTCTTTTCTAGCAAAGGGTGTACTAAATGGCAAAAGATGGTGTATGTGACCGAAGAGACAATGGAAAGCAGTTAGCAATTCATGTAGCTTTTGGGGCAAAAAAGGTCAGCTGTCAGACTCAAACTCTGAATCAAATGATAGTGTCTTTACTCTGGACAGACTATCACGCCATTAGACCACCTCATGGACGGAAATGCTAACACATAACAAGCGTGGAGGTTAGAGCAATAAGTCTGCTGGAAAACAGTTTGTCCTGAAAAGCCAGCCTAATAGTCATCGTATATTCTCGAGAATAGTTCTAAAAGAAATGACAGTTTTTAATTTTGAAGAAGACTTTTATGCCCCCCCCTCTTGCTTACTGATTTTTTATGTGGCCCACCTTGAAGGTAAATAAATTATAGGTGACTATAATATCAATTTCTTCCGCCCCACCCCCATCATTGGTCCTTGAATGTCCTAAATTATCTATATCACATGATTGTTCCATGCACACAGAGGCGCTATGGCTCCTAGAAGAGTGCCGGGAAAAAAACCATAGAGGGGCCCATTCTTTCCGGACAAACCATTTTGGTTAAAATAGCATGATAAATAGTAATGACACAACAAGCAAAAGCACTTCTTGGAGAGTTCTTCGGTCAACCTTTGCTAAGTTGGATATCTTTGAAAAATCATTACTATCTATGCAAGCAGCTCTTCGATTTTTTTGAATATCTGATGTTAAAAATGTAGCTACAATCATTTACAAAAGTTGTGAGACTGCTTTTCCTTCCCACCTCACAATAATGCCAACGTCTGTTTGGCGTATTTTACCCAAAAGAAAACCTGTCGAAATTATGTTGTAAACCATTTATAATTTTGACTTAGGCTTCAGACAGACTTATTTGTTGCTCAATCCTTCCACCGTCCTTTTCCCTCCCCTCGCCCCCTTCAAGCAATGTTGTTTGTTTCGATTTGAAGAAATACGGTATTCTCTCCAATTAACGGACACTCTAAAAAGCGGACACCTCTGATTAGCGGACAGATTTTTTCTGGTGAAAGCCTCCGATCGTTTTCTGGTGAAAGTCTCATAAAAAACTTTCTAAAAAGCGGACACTTAATTAGCGGACACTCTAATTAACGGACAATATTTTTGGCATAAAATAGTCAATTTGGATGTTTTTCTTTCCAATTAGCGGACACTAAAAAGGTTAGGAGCCAGCAAAAAACTAAGACGAATGAATATTTGTTCAAATATCTATTTCAAACACTTTGACAATCTAGTTGGTTTTTTAGAGCTTTGAGCTTCTTTACAGCCCAGTTTACTTGTTCTTGTCCATGAAAGTGGTAAATCACTGGAATCTCCAGACTATAGCCACCTCCAAGATTCAACCTCTTTCCAATAACTTCCTCCGATGGGGGCTAGATGCTTCCGACAGAGGGGCTGTGGCCATCACCTGGCGCCACCACTGATTACACCTTTTAAATACAAAAATCGGGTCTATTTACAAATTTGGGACTTACATTGCAAAACTTTCCAAAAGGCAGACACTTCCAATTAGCAGACACCTTGCTCGTGCCCCGACGGTTTCCGCTAATTGGAGAGAATACTGTAGTTGCAAATCATGTGTGCAAAGACCGTTTACAATAACAAGATCTCAGCAACATTGCTTGAAGGGGAAGGGGGTTAATACAATTTTAGTAGATTACTGTCAATAAATTTGTCCTGATTTCATCACTGGTCTCAACATATTTTGTTAAGGATTACAGATTTCAAAACGCCTCAGCCTCTCTTTCGATGTCACTAATTATTGAAAAAAAGGCTGATATAATGTCATCTGCAATTACATAGAGAACAACAGAGCACATTTAGCATATCATTATTCATCATTATCCTTATGAAAATATTACAAACTACACAGAGTTCCGATAATCTACACATACCGCTAAACCCCTCTAGCAAAAAAGCTCTCTTGTTACATCTGTTTCGTTGACTCTATTAATAGATAGTGCGTGAAAATAACCGACCCGAGCGAGTTCGAGCGATTAATTGTCTTTAAATCCTGTTGTCTTTACATTGACTCTATTATTTTGTCAATTTTAAGCATGCAAGTATGTCTAAAGACAAAAAAGAGGCAAATTTTGTATGTCGCTCTAGTGTCCTCAAAATCCTGCCATACTAATAAACATATTGCACTTGTTATTTTATTAAATAATTGCATCTGGTTTTTTACAAATGTGAGCTTGCTGAGGAAGCAAGGTATTCTACAATTGCAGACAGGGACGGATTTAGCGGGGGGGGGGAGGGGTGTAGAGGGTGCGACACCCCACAATATTTCTGTGTCCTTCGGTAAATTTTAATTCAGTCGGTAAAAATCATTCGTTGGTACTCAGTAGTAACAAGGTAACGCCAAGATTTTACTTTATTTTTCTTATCAGAATTTATCTTCTTATCAGCAGCGTAGCGGTGGGGAGGAATATTCAGAAACGATTTTAAGCTAATCTCAAGGGTGTCCTCACAAAACTTTTCTTATCAGGAGACCCTCGTGTATATTTCTAAAGGATCTTCAACAATTTCCCTTCGTTTTGGGGTTTGTATAGAAACGTCCTTCACGTTCTTGAGACAGTCCCGAAAAAATTACAACTAAAATGTTAAGCAGTTCAATCCTTGAAAAAATTGGATTCTGAAGTGCTTGTCGTGGATTTTGCTCCAAGGAGAACGAACTTGGTTTTAAACATTTGAATACTGTTTATTATTTTTAGATATTTGATTACCACTTTGGAAAATTACTTTTTACGCGTAGTGCTTCCTCGCCTTACACAATTCAAGATAGTGAAGGATATAGACAATTGTAGAATATGGTCAGCCACAAAACGCTACATATGACTTTGTATAAAGGGAAATTGCCACGTAAAAATTGACGTTTTCATTATTTATCAGTGACCTGAAGGATGTGGCACCAAGATTAGTGTCTAACACCCCCCCCCCCCAACCCATGTTGCTTAGATCCGCCCCTGAATGCAGACAATTACGTCATATGAACTAGAAAAAGAACCTAGTTTGACTTTGAAAAAAGAACCGCATGTTGAATTTAATGTCAAGGACCTTATCAATTGATGCCATTCAATTTATGTCTTTTGATAAAATCAAGTTTTCATTTGAAAAACGTTCTAAAAAAACCAAATTAAGCCGAATTCCAGCTCTAAGCCAAATCATTTTTTCAAAGTCAAACATGTTCTGAAAAAGAAAAGCCAAGTTGGCAACCCTGGTTGCGCGTTGCTATGCTATTGAGTCGATGTTGTTGTTGCTTTTCTGGATTTGGGTTCACTGACAGAAATTAGGCCAGGACTTTTTGACTGTGGCATAACATGGTTAAGTTGCACGTGAAGCGTGGGGATGAAAGCCTCTTTCTATATGAAACAACGGTCAAGACAAAACTGCAAGATGTAATAACTGATCTAGCAAGAATACAGAACCAGCGGCTTAAAATAGAACGACTTTTTTATGGTGAGCCATTACTAATTTCATTTCGCTTGCTCGCGACCTATGCTCAATCAACAGGGAAATGCGAAGGCTGCATCTTTTAAAAAATATACAGTTTTATCAATTGTAAATTAAAATCAAATGCGAAATTTCATATATTTCAAATTTCATAAATTTCATAAAATTTGATAAAAATTTGCAGTAAAACTATCCACTCTATTTGCAATGAAAGCCAAAAATAATTGTTGGATAGATAAATACCAAATGTGTATGACCTTGTCTTACAGTCGATGATAGAACAAGCCGCCAATTCAGCAATACTGCAGTCAGCCAAATATATGATTGTTTCAAAGAACATTTTAAATTTGTCAAAGTTTTCCTAGTGTTGCAGGAAAAAATTGTTAAAAAGGAAATCTCGATTCACAGCACCATAAAACCAAAGTGAGCAGGGCAGGGCCTGATACCAAGAGTTGATTCCTCTTTTCAAAACAGAAGTGAAACTAGTTTGCATTTTATTGAAAAAGTTTTGTTTATTAAACTTTGTCAATTTACAAACCAATCTTAACTTTATGCAGGAAAACTTTGACCAATACAAATCTTTGATTTGATTTGATTTAATTCAAATTCTACTACATTTCGAAAAGCTAGTTAGTTACATAAATTATAAACAAATCAAATAAAAAATGCAACAACAACAATAACATTATTTAAAATACAATATTTAAAAGACAAAATGAAGCAGAATTCTTAAGGAGGAGCCTTCAAAGTAGGTTAACTAACAAGATGAAGGCCCCCCTTTTGTTTCAGCGATCTATATGTTCATCTATAATAAAGTCTCGTTGAATTAAATTAAATTACTTTATGGACTAAACAAGAAATTTTGCAAAGCTCACTGACTTTAAAAAAGTTTCTAGAAGATAATTTTTCGAATGTTTTTTGAATAAGAATTTAGAAGATGTGGTTCTTATTTCTACAGGTAGATTGTTCCATAATTTTGCCCCCATATATCGAGTTGATTTCAAGCCATACTGTAAAGTATTTGCCATAGTGAGGAAGAGATCACCACGTGTTGATTGCTTGTTTTGACCAAGGGTGTACTGGAGGGCTAATGCCACATGAAGCTATTATGTTTCCTAAAACATTTGGTTTGGAATGTTCCCACATAATTGAGAGCAAATTGGGTCATTGGTATATCAGCACAAGTCATTCTATCTTCCATAAAGATAAACATCTAACATAAAGAGATTTCTGAAGAAGAAGCACATGACAAGACACAATAATGAATAGCAAAAAAATATCAATTAATTACAAATAAATTTAGAGAATGAACAATCATGGAAATTTACCCTCTGATTAAATTTTAGCTAATCATCATTAAAAATTAGCATAGTTCTTGATATATCCAAAATTATTTTTGCAACTAGATTGATGATACTTTAAATTCTTTCTGAGCCAAGGTTTGATTGAATACGAAAATGGCAAAAGTCATGTGAAGACATGGGCGTAAACTTAGGGGTGCTCTGGGGCTTCAGCCCCTCCTGACGAAAACTGGAAAATAAGGAAGTGCTTTACCAATTTTTAGATTAGTTTGTTATATTATTGGTTTCATGCATTAGATTTGTTGCATTACAGCAAAATAAAGTATGAAATTATTGTGAACATAAGGTTGACACCTTCATATCAAGAAACGCCGCGAGAAAGAGTACATTCTGGGTGCCTGAATAGAACTGATGATCTCAACCTAAAGAAACTGATAATGATTTAAAAATAAACTTTCAATCATTTCATTTGTGTGTTTCTTCTTCCTCGATAATGAAAATGCATGGAAAAATCACCTTTAAGCCCTTAGCTAATCCACTTTCTATCCTGTGACATCAGCAGCTGCCATTAGGAATTGTCATTAATTTTTTGAGCCCCCCCCCCCCCCCCCCCCCCTGAAAAAAATGCAAGTCTACGCCTATGTGTGAAGATATTGCTATAACAAACTTGACATGCTTTTGTAAGATGGGCAGGTAAACTTCATAAGTTGTTCTATAGTTGGTGATTTCACGCAATCAAAAAGAAATAATGTTTATATTTTTCAATATATTTATGGCATAGTTTTTGTATTTCTAGAAAAATAAGGTATTAAAGCAATATATATCACCCCCCTATTCTCTTTATCAGAAAATGGGGGGGGGGGTAGGGCTGTGGTTTGTCAATTAAATTTTTCACAGCTAGGGCAGGTCATGTCGCCATGAAACTTACAAATGGCAGCCTCTGATTGGCTGGATCATGGAACTGGAAAGGTCTGCATCAAGAGCCAAAGTAGATTTCACAAGCTATGTTTCAAGGTTCTGAAAGAAGGGTACGTTGGCAAACGTCACATAAACTGGTGTAGATTTTAAGAAATGGTATTTTTGACCAGATTTATGAAATAATTTCCTGAAAGCAGGATGTTTGGTTTGAAAGGGGGAAACCAGGAGAGGAGCTCTCTGGCCGGGAGACTCCTACCAAAATTGGGAGAGTTGAAACCTTTGTATTAATGCAATTAATCAGATAGTATGTGATAAGCTCGCTCATTAAAAGGTTTAAAAGGGAAGATAGATGTCTAATTTCTTAGCTGTCAAAGCAGAAAACCTAAGTACACTATAAGTATCACTCTGTGAGTGCCCTATTCAATAGAGGCATTGGCTATCATGGTTCTCCGCACAGCTTTGTCTCTAGTAGCTAGCAATGTTTCAACATGCATTGGAAAATATCTTCAGCAGGTTTGTCTCATTCAAAGTTTCAGGTTAATTAATCACATGATAAATGTAAGATTAATCAACAAGGTATTTTTGCAATTTGATATTTTTTAAACTTACGAATAATAACGTGAGATAATGAAAGTATTAAAATTTGTTCCATAGTAAGTCAAATTCTTATTTAGGGGCTTCTCAATCAGTTGATCCACAGCCAGTACTCTGTTATTGCTGTATTCAAGTAAATGAATGCATTTGTTTTTTTTAGGGGGGGGGGGGGGGGGGGTGAGGGGAAGGGCTGCCACCCCTGCTTCCAAGGGCCATGGCGAGTAGTTGTTTATACACATTATACTTATCATACCTGTCTTTTTCTACTGGCCATACGGCTTTCTTCCCTCCTTTTTCAAGTACTTTCTTCAATGTTTCCCCTTGGCTCAATTTCATTTATACTGCTTTGCACTGATATGCTTTTACTTGCTTTCTCATCTTTCTTTCTCTTCTTCGTTTTCTCATGTTATTTTTTGAAATATCGTAAATCAAGATATCTTTTTCTCGACTCCATTGTGAAGAATAAATTCATCAAATTCTGCAAATATTAAACGGCAGCAAAAAATAATGAGACCTGCAGAGGTGAAGGAGAGAAAAGGGGAAAAAAGATGGGTTTCATCAATTTCAAACCTGCTCCTTCTCATAATACAGTTAAACCAATCTGAAGCCTACAATCCTGGCCAAAAGGTTAGTGAACTTGAGAAAGAACCCAATAAAATGACAATTTTACCCCAATAACTGCAATCGAAACGGCATTGATCAACATTGACTGTGGGGGATGGGGAGCGTATTTGTTCAAAAAGACGAAAATTTGCCGGCCAGTTCAGAAGGATTTCTAAGCAGAAGGAAAACCTATCATAGAGGTTTGTTATGTATCGGAAAGAGCTACTAGGCGTCTAGAAATGGTCGCCCCATGCTAAAAAACTAAGAAGTCAGTCTTTTAGAGTATTATGTGTTTAATCTTCATAAAAATTGAAAAATTTCAAAAAGCTGCACTTGACGTAGTTAATCGAAGGAGACGCGACACTTCTACCTAAACTGTTCAGATTCAAAGTTCTCTTTGCACGTGGAGGGTACATAATTATGATGGGAAATATAGATATTGCGGTCCTTCTTAGTCAATTAACTATAAGTGATGGGTTGGTATGGGTTTGATAGCCTACACAGTACGTTTTGCTTCAGACTTTGCTATATTGGTACGTACATTCAATTTGCCTTTAATATTTCAATACGAAGAATAAGTTGATGTTGTAAAGTCTAGGTCGGCGCATAGAGAAAATCCATTTGTGAGATTATGTATATGATTTTCGTAACAAAAACGTGCTTACTACACACGCAGCCACAATAACTCTTTGGGTCAAGTGCCGAAGCGATTTATCACGAAAGACGTGTCAACGCAGTGGTAAACGGGAGAAAGATTGGGCACCACCCTATTTCCAGGACTCGATCGCTCCAACAGTTGATAACGTCTGAAAGCTTAGGAGAGAGAGAGAAATTCGCAGATGCTACCTGATTATTTACAGTAGGGCAAATGCAGCCAAATTCCCAGCATGAGAGTCAGTCTACCAAAAATACAATACCTCCGTCGAGAGAGAAAAGGAAATAATGGCTATGAGACGGAGAACATTTGTGTTTACTCATCAATACCAGCAGATGTACAGAAAAGCATTCAAAATTGTCCTCGCTGCTTTTCAGAACTGATTTTGAGTGGCATCAATGTCTAAAATTGTTTATTTGAAAATATTCAAGTCATCACGAGTAACCAACGAGTTACCAACGAGTTACCCTAACGAGTTACTATTTCTAATAGCAGGGCCGGCGAAAGCAGGGGGGCGGAGGGGGCATGCTCCCCTCACTTTTCTGCAGAGCTAAAGAAAAATTTAAGGCAAAAGTGGAAATAAAAGTAGTATATGATTCTCTAAGTGACTTTGCGTTGTATTCTCTTAAATGTGTCCTTAGCTTTATCATATCTATGTCTATCTATGTCTTTATCATAGAAGACATACATAAAATTGAAAATGGGAATTAGATCGAAGAAATCGGCCATTGTCTAAGTTTTATAAAGAGTAACAGCTTGGCTTATCAAATAGATCGAGAAACCTAGTCCAGAATAACTTGGTGCCAGCACAAATTGACGGAGTTTCGTTTTTTCCATTGCCTGAACTTGGCACACAAGATCTATTTGTTAACGAAAACTTTCTCAGAAACATTACGAAAAGAGAGAAATCAGCTGTTGAAGGAAAAGAAGCAGCT